AACTGGAACGAAGTACAATAAAGCGTGCTAGTTAAATAGTATCTTAAATCGTGACTATTCCGCAATTATTTTTATTTGAGATGTACATATTTAAATTTGAATGAAAACTTAAGTTAATAGAATTTAAAACCAACTTTCTTAGCAATTTCAAATTAAGTTTGTATGAATTCAAATCACAATTTATTTTGTATGGTCCAGTTGTCAAAACACAAAATTAAACAGTTATTCTCAATTAACTTCATTATACCTCCTTCAGTACATTCAACTCCAATTAAAAGTCAAACTGGTTGCCTACATATAATTAATTCTACCAAAGGTGCAAACCATGAATATATTTTAAGAATAACCCAAAAATAATCTTTATTTAATCATCGCATCAGCAACATATTTGTATATTTATATATTTTATTATTATTCCTTGAGCGTTTTCTTGTATTCATCGAGCTTGACCTGTACGCCGCCCATTCTTCCGTATTCTCATCGGCCATTTCTGCTGCGTGATATTCCTTCTTCATCCGATGCCACCGCTAACCTCTACCACCGTGGTGATACCAGTTACCGGATGCTGGGTACAAAATGCATCGCGGTGCTTCCGGGATGCTTGCACGGCATAATATGTGACAAGCATCTTGCCTACGCATTGTACCTTGCCATTCGAGTCTTTTTTGGGTCATAGTGACGGTGACATTGGATAGTTTTCCAGTGTATATTCCACTGCACTCACGTGCAACACACAACCACAGCGCGAATAAAATCAGTGCCCTTCATTTTACGTTGATTTCACTTAACCTAAAAATAAAATAAGTATTAAAGTAATATAACTACGCACTTGTGGTAGACGTGGTTAAATTGTTTCCGGTTGTATTTACTTGCATAAGCGGTGTGCGATACATACTTGCTGTTACAACTGATAACAACGTTATGACCCTGTATGAAGCAATGCTGAACTATTTATACTCTCGGTGACTCACACTCACTTAGTACTTTCATGTACGAATGTGTGACAATGTTTTGATTGCATAATGAAATCACATATGCTGCGAATTAGCATAAATCCCCACTGAGCATGAGATTGTGTTTACTTTTCGATATTACTCAAGTTTGCTTAAGTTTTTATCGCGACGTCGTCACCAGTGTTGAGCAAACATAAACAACGCCTACTAAGAGGCCGTTTTACGAAAAACCACAAAAAACATGTTATCTACATATGTACAAATCATAAAATAAAATGAGTAATATTGGAAATTGTGCGCTAATTGCAAAGCAAATATGTTTTTTAAATATTCTACCATAAAAGCCCACAAATAAATTAGCAAAGGTGTGTTTGAAGTGAGTATTATTACCGATAGTGCTTATAGGTATAAGGCTCGGATGGGTTCCATTTCACAGAATGCGCTAACGCCATGACATTGAGGTATTATCGTTCGGGGCAGATAAATTGTGTTAATTGTGTTAATTAAATTGCAGACTGCAGCGTGCTAGTTAATGGAAAATCGATAGCATGTACAACTCACGATTGTGTGCATGTTCAAGTTATTAGTCTGTCGTCTGATGATATTATCTAGTTACATTTGTTCGAACATCTTAGGATAATAGATAAATGTCGATATACTTAATAGTTATAGCTGGGGAATGACGTTTGTTGTATAAAAAACTAATGAAGGCAAGTTTAATGATAGAATGATAAAAGTTGAAGTTATTTATGAAAATGTAGTAGGTCAATATGTACGTCATGCAAAGATATTTGAAGAAATAGCTTTAGGTATTAGTTTACTATAAAAATATGAAGAAAAATTTGTAAAGAATACAATTTTTGACCTTTTTAAATGATAATTTCTTAAGTTTTTAATAATTTTATGAAAAATTGAGGTTAAAAATCTGCTAACGCAGTCATTTTGTAGCTCCATTTGTCGGTTATAAAAGCAACCATCGTATTTTGTAGATTTTAATATCTAGAATTTAGACGTTAATAATATGTCCCCAGCAGGACGAAAAAAACGTGCACGGAAACGTGAAACTATGCTCTCGAATAACGTCAGCAATAAACGTGTAAATCGCCATGTGCCTGCCGCTATTTCAGGCATTCTCGCCGCCCTGGTGTTTCGTTACATGTGCAGATGCGCCCCATACGCGTCGGAAGCGACCACTTGCTGGAGCCGCCGCCACCGCCGCCGCCGTACGCCGCACGCGGTCCCGCGATTCACACGCGCGCGCCACGAGACGGCCGCCCACGCAAAATGGATCTTTCCTACCCCCACCCGAACTCGCGCAGGCTCTGCCTATCGATCTCCAGGCTGCTGCCGGTCGCCTTGACTCGTGCTCCGGATTTTGGGCGGCGCGGGGCGGCTGGTTCATTGAACAGCCGACGCTGCGTGTGCATCCTGCATCGAGGGGCGGTGGACTGGGGACTGCACTATTCGCGAACGCGGATGCACGTATAGTCGAAGGATATGCGGGCTATTTATAAACTTGATGGCGGCAATTTTCACGTGCTTCGCTCGTGCGCATCAATGGTTATATCCTGTGCAAGGGAAAATCTTCGAAGAATTTTATTTTCGTATGATGGCTTTCCTGCGTTGTGTGGAAGGAAGATAATTTTATTTTTATTACTATATAGAATTTTTTCTTTCTTAAATACAAGGTGTTTTTATATTTTATTTAATTTTATGTTAAAATTAAAACAAATTTTCAGCGAAATGATTTTTCCTTGAACTTTGGCTTCTACAATGAAAATAAATAACAACCTGCGGCAGAACCTTGAATCTAATATTTTCATTCAATGTACAGCAGAAAAATAATTTTGTGGTCATAATTTTCAGAAAGTAAACAAGCTGAAATTCCAATTTTTATGCACAAACTTTATAGTAATTATGAATTGGTGCAATAATAGCATGAGTCCCAGGGCTATGAGGTTTACGCTGATTGCACAAAGCCCGATAATCTTTGAATAAGCAAGCTAAAAGTTTGACGGAAAGTTGAAGCGAGCGACGAATGGCAAGCACGTTTACTCGGGTCATAATCTCATATTTCTCCGAACGCGACGCAACTTTATTTACGAATAAAATTATAAATTTCCAGCGAGTTTTTTTTTGTATTGCACGCGCACGATTTGCGCAAACAACAAAAGATGTGAATAACTTTTGATTTAAGATGAAGTGATTTACAACACAATCTCGTAAAGTATGTTTTTATTTATGCAGGCAACAAATTATGCATCCAACTTCAAAAAATTTTAAAAATTGCGTTTTTAAAATTTAATAATAAAATGTGACAATATATTTTTCTAGGTAAATGTGATAACTTTTATATTTGAACAAAAAGTTAAAATATTCTAACCCGACGTGTGAAAACAAATGCCACCAGCAAAATGCAAATTCAAGTTATGCAAAATGAATATTCAACTTTAATGAAATTAAAAGCTTATCCCGTGTATATCTATGCCCAACTGGACTCAATGCAGTTTGCAGCCGAATGGCGCATTCATTTTGCTTGCTCTGCGCTCCTTCAGTGATTCCAATAGTCGGGCGTTTTAAGAAATTTAATGCCATCCAGCACGCAATGCGCCCGTTTGCTTATCCAGGGCGGCCGCGGCCAATGCAATTACTTTATTAACTCGCCGCCACCGGCTAGAAATTATGCCGTTGCAATGCGCCACTAATACAATCCGCTAAACCGCTATTTACATAGGCACAAAATGAATCTATTCATAAAATTTACCACAACGGGTTAACTAACTCGGTAGCTGCGGGAAAATGGTAAATTTGGTAATGTCAGAGTTCATGTGGGAAATGTTTTACTCATAACATGACTTCAAAGAATTAAAATGATGTTTGAATACGTGTTTGTCTTGGGTTGTTGATGAAAAGAGCAAATTAATTTTAAATTGCATTATTTATAGTTTTAGTGCATTTCATTTATGGTTTGACATGTTACATATTGAATATTTTTAGAATTTTATATAAAAAGCTTGTTTAAATAGCTTTACTGCATCTATGTGCTCACAAAAAACATTTTTAAATAACAAAATACAATGAAAAGTTAACACAAAATGCAATATCACTTTATTGCAGGTACAATCAAAATACATTTTATTGCGATATCGATTTATTGGCAATAAAATATATAACCATTTAATGTTTTATTAAAAAGTATTGTGTGCAAAGCATGATATTTTTTGTATGCAAAGATAACCAGACGTTTTAACTGCGTTTTGGCGTCGGGTTTTAGTGCCAACAATAACAATCGACAACAAGTGGTTGCTCCCACGCATCCACCTAGATTTCCCGATTGTAGCGTGCCCGCGTTTACACGCCATTAGCGCACGCGTTCCTGTTTTTATCCCTTTTTTGCCTCTCTGCCGTGTTCCAACGCTGCTGGAAGCGACAATGCGGAAGCAAGGACAAACCGTAGGCGCGTTACCATGCGCTATAAAATATAAACAATAATCGTCACATATCAATGGAAAATAAAAATAAAATTATAATCTAGGCAACAAAATTTACAAAAATATAAACGCGAAAATGTAAACATAATCGATTGGTGGGTATGATGTTTCTATAGTACGAAACAGAGGGTGAAAGGTAATCGGGCAAGGTCGTCCTGTAATAATAATCGACGCAAGGAAGAATGCGGAGAGCAACCCAAGAGGAAATTACGCCCTTGATGGCTGGATCGGAGACGATTTTTGTTTCAAATCCCCTTTGCGAAGCGTTCCCCGAAAGTTTCGTCATTCAATTACGAATAAGAGATTTGTAATTAAACGGATGAATTGATGCGAGCGGATCGCTTTCCGAAATGGCAAATGAGATCCAACGAAATTGCGCGTTAATTCAATAGGCAACAGGGCGTTATATTATACGAGTAAGCCAATCATGCGAATACGCTATAAAGTTTTAAGATGGACTTATCTTTATGACAAAATAACAATTTTATTAGCAAGCAATAATTATTTTCAACATTTCACAACTAAAAAATTGAATTTTTATCTCCTATTGTTACAGGTCCAGATGGCGGGAGAGTATTGGGTGCAATCGCTGGCCTCGGCGTGCTATTGTTAGTCTTTCTCTTGTATATAAACAAAAAATGGCTGTGGGGTGGCGTGGGCGCGATAAGCTGCTGCGACGAAAATTGCCCGCCAGTGTCCACGCGCCCGGTGCCATCCCCCACAGTGCCTTCGAGTCAACTTCCGCACGGAGCGCTCAATGGCGGCGGCACTGTCACCAGTCCCAACGTCGGCAAGCCCACGAGCAAATTAGGTACGTGCATGGTAATTACTTCCAAGTTTCGAATTTCCATCTATTGCCGATAAACCACAATTCAATAGCTGTCTCCGCATGTTTCATTCATGAGTGGTTGTTAATTCGATTAAAAATGCTAATTACAACGTATCTAGACGCAATCTACTTCTATTCGATTGCAGTTGAAAAAAGTTTCGACCTTTTCGATACTATTTCAGACTGCTAGACGGGCAGTATAAAAAATTTAGTCGTTGTCCGATTATTTTATCGATTGATTCTTTCATGTTGACTTATATACAGGGTGTTAACAACAATTTTAAATCTAAATTGGGTTAAATTTGAAAATCAATTAACAATTGATATATTTTTATTGTATTTTAAAAACAATTTAGGCTTTTATTTAGTTAATTGTTTTTGTTTATTATCAATTTCGAGTTTAATTTGTAAATTAAACATTCAATATATTCGACACTGTATGCTGTGTGCGTCGTACTTTGAGATATTGATTGAAAATTACTTACTGGAGGCCAGTTCGACCGTTTGGTATCTGAAAATAATCCTATCCTCGACGTGTGTGTCACCAGTCGTTAGCTCGCCATCCACCTGCACGCATTGTGGTTGAAACACTTTGCTTTGTGCGAAATTTGACTAAAATACGCGCGCATTCGTAATTAATTCTAAGTGCCACCATTTGCGATCTCTGTCCGTAATTTAATTGCCACGAACACGCAAGGGCTGTTCGATTCGGCGCTTTCCTTTGACTGTTTTAATGTTTTATGGTCCCTACTTCGCTCCAAGTAAGTGTCATTTTATTTTCTGTTTGATGGTCGTTTCGATGATGTGTGTTAATTTATTGCATCTGCGATAAGTGGGTGATGGAAATTCGAAATTTATTATACTTATTGATTTGTATATCTATTATTGAAAGCTAGGTTTACATAATGTTTTGATTTGTAGTTAAAGAATATTCTTTCGATGGAGGTGACTCGAGCAGTGAATCGGAAATGGGTGGACCTCGAGGCAATTATCAAATGCCTTCAGGTGCCACAGGCCCATACTATCCGCCACGACAGGTACACGACCTGATATCGCTGGTGGAAAAGGGTCGTGTTGGTGTGAGCAGCAACAGCTCCTGCTGCAGTTCAACGACGAGTTCAGTCGGAGAGCGTCATGGCGTCCCAGCGACGAAAGTCACCAGTGCGCAGGTCAACGCGATGCAATTACAGAGGTATAAAAAGATTAATTAAATATCTTCACAATTGAGCTAAACAGACAAAGGGCAAAAACAATTGCGATTAAATGAACCACAACTGAGAGATAATGAGTTTCTGAAGTTTGTTTAGTAAGAAAGTTTGCTAATTACCTTCAGAAGCTGGCTTTTCTAAGGATTTACAAAAAATGTATTAACAAGAAGTAGAATTACCTTCTGTTCTAAGAAAATTCTACTTAGAAAATGGTTTATAATAGTTTATTTATGTAATTTATAGAACACCAACTGGTACATTGCGGGAAACGAAAATCGACAATCAGGACTTGCACAGAATAGACAATGCCCCGGTCAGTATGGACCACCACGCTACCGACATCAATAGCAACAGAGATGTAAGCATCGGAATAGTTTATTACCACATTCGAATGTTTCCCAATATCCATTACTTACCATTAATTAAACATTTGTTATTACAATGTAATTTGTATTGTCCGCAGTGCATTGTGGTCATGGGTGAGGGCGAGGGCAGCGAGTTGGTGTCCTGTGTGGGGTCGGAACCGGAGGCACAACTGCTGAGTAAATGCGGGCATCTGGAGATCGCGCTGCTGTACGACGCGCCCATGCGGAAGATGACCGTACATGTATTGCAGGCGCGCGACATCCCCAGCCGGGATCGCGGTCAACCCACACACACGCAGGTAAGCTGGCCGCTTTGACGCTTTCGTATGATCATAATTTCAGACTAACTAGTCTATTTGTGGCTCACATCTCATATGAGCTTATTAACTCGCACGTGTGAGGTTGGCTGCTGCAAAGTCAAGTACTCGACATCCTCTATTGTTTGATGTTTTTGTTTTGCGGAGGTAACTTTGTACACAATTTAATTAACAAGTTTGCGCGTTGCGGCGAGTAAACAACATATTAATTACGGGTTTTACACGGAATTCAAGTGTTTGCTTCTTGTTCAAATTGCAAGAAGCCTAAAAATGGCTGCTGCGGTGTTTTTAAACTTGAATTTTCACAAAGGTCATGTCATTTGGGAATAGATAGGTTGTTTCAAAGCCAAATTATGCGGTAGGTATATGAGTATTGGGAGAAATTTTATCGCCCACTTTGTAAAGTGCCAATTGGCAACCGTAGCAACAATATTTTGAAAGAAACCACGCTGGGTTTTAAAATATTAGCTCCGATAAAATTTATCAATTTGTGAACCGCTCACAAACATAAATCTAAAAACTCTTGAATAATAGCTTTTTGCTTTTTCTATTTTAATAAAAGCTTTGCATGATACGGAAAATCCGATAAGCAAAAATCTTACCCTGTTTCAATTAATAATATTAACTTGATATACTATTTTTTTATTATAATATAATACTCAGGGGATGTAAAAATTGCCACGAAACGTTAAACTGAAAATCGATTGCTCTTTTAAACGCGCCACGGCTTTAATAAATAATTCATTAAACGCTATTCTGCGGGCAAAACCTCCAAGGAATCCGTCGTGGATTTTTTGCGCCGATAAAATTCACGCCGCTCGCATGTCTTGCGCAAATGAAAATGAAAAATGTGTACGTCGTGAACGAGCAATAAAAGCAACCAACGTTGGCTACATTTTCACCTTCTACTAGATTATATGAATATACACGCACGCCTATAATCGTGCAATTTGATGTTGTACGTTTTTGCGGCGGAAATAAATATATTCGAAATGTGGAAAAATGTTGCAGCGTATGCCGAAAACTATGACGCTCGTAATATTTTATGTGCCTGATTTATTCCTGCAGGTGCGGTTGATACTGCTGCCCAGTAAGAAGCAGAAGCACAAAACGAAAATCCGCTCCGGCGATAATCCGCAGTATATGGAAAGTTTCCTGCTTCATCGTGTAAATCCAGGTGCGTGCACTGAAATACTGTTTCTATATTTATAAATTTCTATATTTAATTCCATTAATTCGTGCTTGTTTTTTGAAGCACGACTTATTAAAATGAGCAACAAACGGTTTTTGATTTAATTTCATTACTGCGTTATGAACATCCATTTCTGAGAATTACAATTTCGCTTTTCTGAATATTCCATTCATTCCGCTCCATTGCGGTTTGGTTTGAGCGAGTTATAAGTTTGTTTGTTTGGGGCCTGCTTGTGTATGTCGTGCATGTATGCTTTTATTATGCTGCGCCATTGTACGTAATAGGCTGGTGGTTTTGCAGAGGACGTCAACTCAATGGGAGTGCGTCTTCGGTTGTACGGCTGCGAGCGCATGAAGAGAGAACGTCTCATCGGTGAAGCCATAGTCAGTTTCGCCAACATCAATTTGGAGTTGGAGAATAATTTCTGGCTTAATTTGGAACCCCGTGCAAATACTACAGTAAGTTTCCATCTTTTTAGTTTTATTAGTTGGGTATTGATTTATTTGTTGGGATATTCAGTTGAGCAGTGGTTGCACGGCGGAGCTCATGAGTTTGGCCCGATCGGATAGCACCGGATCTACGCATTCCATGCAACATGGCGGTGTTCCGGAACTTCTCCTGGGACTGTGCTATAACGCAACCACGGGACGTCTCAGCGTCGAGGTCGTAAAAGGATCGCATTTCAGGTAACACTATACTTTGCAAGTGACATTAGACTCTCAAACTTTTATTATTGTGTTCTCTGTAAACACCTTCAACAATCAACTTTTCTCATCTTGAAATTGATGTATACTTGTTTATTGGGTTGCAGAAACTTAGCATTGAATCGTGCACCGGATACCTACGTGAAACTCCATCTGGTGAGTAGCACTGGGCAAGAATTGGCGCAGAGCAAAACAACAGTGAGAAGAGGGCAACCCAATCCATTGTTCAAGGAGACCTTTGTTTTTCAAGTAAGTGCACTACAAATACACTTTTTTGTATTCTTGACATTCTTCCAAATTTCAAAACCACTGCTAATGTTCCTATAGAAAATGTCCAATATTTATGGCTTATTTCTCTTGTCCTTATTGGTGATTTTTGGTTGTTTTGCTTACAAATCTCTAAATAACCATCCAATTTCGAACCTAGGTGGCACTGTTCCAACTGGCGGACGTGACACTAATGGTCTCCATCTACAATCGGCGGGGCGTGACCAAAAAGAAGGAGATGGTTGGTTGGTTTAGTCTCGGATTGAATTCGAGCGGTGCCGAGGAGTTGGCACACTGGATGGACATGAAGGAGTTCCAGCAGGAGCAGATTTGCCGGTGGCACGTCCTGGTGCGGTCATAGCCCACCCGCTTGACATATCATTTACCTGCTACCAACGAGCGTCGCGACTTCTTTGTATTGAACCATGACGACTGGATTATCGAAACCAACGAAGGTGAGTGCGACGCTGCGATGTTTTGAAGCAACTAACAACAACCACCAATTTGAACTTTAACTATATATCTTATTACCTATACCTATTACTACTTTTTGCGAATACCAAAAACCAAACAAAATGCAAACATGCGCCTGTCGAAGACTGAACAGAATGTTGATATATTACGCAAACAAATACACAAAGCAAATATAACGTTTTAAAACTAATTACACAAACACATTCGCATTGATAAACGGATTGTGTGCATGTGAATGATGATGATGATTCAGAATTTTAGCTTTTGACGGACCTATTAAAAATACGGAAGTAAAATGCTGAATGGATGTGAAACATAAAAGAGGACAACTAACATTTGCCTTATTAATTAAATATTTTGTCTAGTACTTCAAGGAAGGCGTTAATATACCTAGAACTACGGTGTTTATTAGTTAGGCGCTGAACTTCAATAACTTATCGTTAGATGGAGCACCATTAACTAAATATGCAAATAAAATCAACTGAACGAAAACAACATACGAAAACATCTAGCAGCGCATACACAAACAAGCATTTCCAACGTCTATCAATACTGGTTTTACAAGGTTATTTTGCACCAAATATTCATCAGATGAATTCTTTTATTAAATTACCTACATCAACACTATTGTTCTAATCAAAGCTCAACTAATCATTTTAATATTAAAACAATTAACAAACGAATATAATACGACTAATAACATTCCAAACATCATGATAATCGTAAATCAGTAAATAAATGAAAACCCCATTATCTCTTCGTGGAAGGAAAATTAAAATTCTGTTGTATGATTGAACATTAACGAAAACATTTTAAACGTGAAGTAAGGAGAAAAATAATGTACCAAGCACAAATTATCTGTAAGATACAACTTTGTAATCCTATGAATAACTGAAGTAAACAGTAACAATAACCAAGAAGAAGGAAATACGTAGGCTACCAAAATATTTACAAAGTATATAATATTCTGAAATAGTCGATGCGTAATTTAGTCATGCAAACACCTACGACCATTAAACCACATTCGGCCACCCTGAACTTTTACACACTCCAATGTAATAATTCTTAACATTATACTAATCTTACTCAACGTAACTTATCCTAACTATTTTCTTATCTTGGCAAATAAATTGAGCTGTTAATTGTCACAAAAGACGAGCTTTTATATAACATACAACTTACTTATTAAATTTTCCACATACAAAACCAAATATGTTATGACAACGTTTGACTAACTGCGAATGAGCAAAAGTTAAACCTAATTAAACTTGTAAATCTAAAGATAAACACAACAATTGGAAACCTACTTTAGGTATGGTTACGATGACGATTAGAAATTAAAATACGATTACGATAACAATTACCGAAAACCTTTGACTATTTATAGAAAGGTTTCTGGATACGTCGCTAAAATAGTATTTAACACTATTATACACATTTGTGTGATGATGATTGTATCCTGAAGGTGATGAACGTTGATATCCGGACACAATTGATACTTGGGACATTTTTACGATGATTGCGATGATTATAATCTAGATTTATGCGAGAATTATTGCTAACGATGTACGCATCCACTGTTATACGGATAGGGGCATTACTATTAATATAAACATGCATTATACTTAAATTATCGAAGTAACACTTTGTAACGATTAATCTTTTACGCGGGGCGTTACGAAAATCGATCATAATAAGACCGTGTTGTTTAATATTAAGTACACCTCCAAATCCATTTCACAATTATCCATGTTTGTGTGATTGGATTTTGATGCATCTTGGTTGAGTTTTTACTTTATTTTCGTTTTTAGTTATGGTTTTTCTATGATTTCTTTGTATAATATTGTAAAAACTCACCATAAGAAATGCACCATACAATGAAAAAAACTTGTGAAACATGTAAATTTCATATTTGAATACGTGATAAAGTGCTTTTAAGCGGTCTTATTAATTTTGTGGGACGATTTTCGAACGCCCATCCAATGGAATGACACGTATTGTTTCAATTTAATCTTCATACCGATCAACTGAACAAAACGCCTTGTTGATAGAAAGACACCACGATCCAAACGAGCAAGAACTCATAAGTAACTTGTTACTAACCTATTGCCCTCCACAATTTTTATTTACCAACGTAATGAACGTAATCAAGTAAATAATACAATTGGAAAACGTATGAAATGAAATGATTTATTTCACTTGAGCGTTTATTATTTTCATTTTAATGCAAGTGTAGGTAGGTAAATATTGGCGTGACAAAACAAGAACAAACACGATTATTAATATAAAATGTCAATTTGATGTGTTCAGAAACGTAAACAAATGTACGAGGGGTATTTATTTACACATTTGGTTTCAAGCTGAAAGAAATGTTGAGAAGGAATGGGCAGAAAATTTAACGAATGTTAAGGGGAGGAGTTTAAAAATTGATAGTGATAGAGATAATTGAGGCAAAAATATGTTATGATGGTAAACAACAATAAGGAATTAAGAATGAAGAATTTAAAGTAACTGTGGCAAAAATAGAAATTTAAGATGATAAGGACAAGAAATGTTGAAATCTAATATGGAGTACATTTTAAAAATTTATTTATTATAAAAGAGCACAATGCAAACTTATCGAAATTTGTTATTTAGTTTTGTGCTCTGAATTAGATTTCAAATTGAAAGATGTAAAAATTGTTTGTGGCGCTGATAAAGACAAAAACTGTGTAAAGCACTAAAAATATATTTAATTAAACAAAAAAAAACATTACATATACATTAAACTTCATGGATATTGTGGATTTAAAATATGATAATGTTTACAATAATACAGTGTGTAATTTATAATGGCAAACATATTAGCAGATTGGCAGAAAACAAAAACAAATTGGACTGTGAGCGAATGTTATAGAATGATAAATAATTTCAATAACATCTGCATTTATTTATTAAATACTATATTTGATACTTGAGCAAAATGTATTTTTATTCACTTAAATGCATTTAATTAAAATTACTTCTATGTAAATGTTTTTATATTAATAACACAAAAACAAACAGATTATTTGCACATATTTTCAATTTAGAGATGTCGTTACATGTTGTTGACAATTTTATTTATAGTTTAATGTTGATTAGTTCTTTAAGTCTTTGGTGGAGAATACATGAATATATTTTCGTATTTATAAGTAATACCAACATATGTCGAAAATGAATGCACTTTTAAACTTACGACCTTCATCTGATTGTACGATTGTTATTCTATTGTGCATTACTTATAAACTAAATCGTATTCTGAGCTCCCTCAAAACAGAAAACTAAACAAAAACACAAATACAAATTGAGGATAAAACCAAATATGAATATTTATAAAATTACACGATATGGAAGATAAAGAAATTGATAATATTGATATTTGTGGAGTGTGTGACTTTTTGTACCTACTGTTTTATATCAGAATTCGACAGTATTATACGATATAATTGTAATTACAGACATGATGTACCACTGAAGTCGAATAGAGGATTGCGCATCAAATTGAGCGACATACGTTGTCATCAAAATGATACAGACGTACTGTGAACCAAACCAATTCAATAAAAATACTCGATTGTGAATATGTATTAAGATTGACTCTGGTTGTATGTTGTTTGATTATATTTATTGTATACATACTCTGCACAGCTGAATCACAATCTGCACCAAAACTTAATGTATCTTTTTACTATTGAAATAATTAATTGTATTCCACATATTTTGTACTAACAAATAAATAAAACCATTTTATTAATGTCATTCAAAACAAAGTGTTATCATATATATATATATATATATATATTTATTACTAAAATTAATTCGGACGGAAACAAGATCGGCTATTTGCTTTTCATGTGTTTGTGTTTATACGAACATGTTCAAACTTGTTATTTTGCGTTCAACGTGCAGTGCAATAGCGCAACGTTGTCAGGTGTTGCTGATTACCGCGTAAAACATGGTCACTGTCTTCAACGCACAGATCTACAGTTCAGTATTACCGTCGGCTTAGTCACGCGTACGTCTCTCGCCTCGCGACGGTGCTGGCAATAATAATTTTGAATTTTGTGATAACAAGTGTAGAGTGTAAATGTTGTTTCTTGAGTGAAGTAATCATGGATAACCACACATGGATTGCCACACCTTCAAGGCTTAAGCAGTGCTCTTAAGTCTATATTCAATTTCGGATTTTGACCTTTTTTGGTGGAGACTTTTGATGGCAAACCTCAATTAGCAAAGGTAAGAGCTACCATGTATGTAAAATTAATCGGAAAATTGTCGGCTCCTACACGAGTTGTATTACAGGCTTTCTCCAACAAAGCATGATACGGTTGCGATAATTATCTATCACTAATTTGCTGAATCTATTCGTATTGTATCAATAATTGATGAGGTATTTATTGATAACTTTCAAGTATGATAAACAGTGACTGCATAGGTACTTATAAAGATCCGTCGGGCACGTTTTATTTCGTACTTCAACTGGCACTGTTACAAATATTTATAAATAAATTTTAATAAATATTTATATTTAAAAGTGTGTCATCTTTTTGATAAATTCTCTTTTTTTTTATTATAAACTGGCTGTATCTCGGAATCTGTTGGTTCAGTTTGTATCTTAATAGTTTTTATCCTCTTTGTAAAGTTGCGTCGAAGTTTATAACTGAATGTGAAACATTATATTATATTTTATTTTAGTGCACATCAAAAATGTTTCGATTTCAATTTTACGTGCATATCGGGGTTTGTGTATAAACAACATTTTGTATCGCGATAAACACGCGCAATGTTGCGTTCATGCTACGAACGTTTTACCATTTCAGTCTGTTTTTACCTGTACGCCGCCCGGCATCATCCTTTTATTTATTTCGATAATCAGTGCCGGTTTTAGAGCTACCAGCGCCCTGGGCGAGATTTCTACGGCGCCCCCTAACTGCAATTCAAACCCATACGAAAAAACCGGCCATGTGCGAGTCGGCGCCCCTTAAAGTCTGGCGCCCCTGGGCGGTCGCCCAACCGCGCCATGCGCAACGAGTACAAGTGCGTAAACACACAACTAATTTTCTAGCAAAAAATTTCGAGACAGGGAGATACAGAATTAAATTCCGTATCTAAGGAAATTATTCCGAACTTACAGTAAGACCGCGTTTGCGTCTAACGAAAATTCCGTAACGCGAGTTATGTTGAAAGTTGTGTGTGTGCGCCGTAATACTCGTTGCGCTAGGAATCAGGGCACCGTATGAGGGTGACTCGTGACTCGTGTTCAGGGCACCGTATTCCGTAATGTGAGTTATATTGAAAGATGTGTGTGTGCGCTGTAGTCCTCGATGCGCTAGGAATTGTAGTTTTTGTTAGTACAACACACGAACGCGATGTCACAATAAGTTCGAAATAATTTTCCCAGATGCAGAATTTAATTCTGTATTTCCTTGTATGAAAAATTATATCTAAAAAATTCCGTAACGCGAGCTATATTAAAAGTTGTGTGTGTGCGCCGTAGTACTCGTTGCGCTAGGAATTGTAGTTTTTTTAGAATAACACGTGAACGCGGTATCACAATAAGTTCGGAATGATTTTCCCAGATGCAGAATTTAATTTTGTTTCTCTCTGTTCTAAAGTTTATTGATTCCGTAACGCGAGTTATAATGATAGTTGTGTGTATACGCACTTGTACTCGTTGCGCTTGGAATTGTAGTTTTTATATTATAACTCGCGAACGCGGTCTTCAACTTAGTTCGGAATAATTTTCCTAGATGCGGAATTTAATTCTTTATTTCCCTGTATCAAAATTTATTGCGAGAAAATTCCGTAACGCGAGTTATAATGATATTTGTGTGTATACGCACTTGTACTCGTTGAGCTACGAATATTCTTAAGCCGATAAATATTGAAAGTAACAGTAGATTTCGTGTATATGTCCTATTTCAATATTGTAAATTTTAGTTTAGTATTCTCAACTACGTGTTTATCAGTACGTTTGTGTAGAAACAACTTTTTTGTTAGAGTGACGCGTGTTATCGCTGCGTACCTGCCTTGAACGCGCGACGTACACGGCAATCGTTTTACCGCGTGGTCCGCGAACGTGTCTCTCTAGTCGCCATGCGTTTTGAGGTTTTAATTTGATTAATCGTTGTGTATTCTTTCGGCCATCAGCTAAATATTCGGGACGGTCGTATTGTGTGTGTTTTGTTTAATGATTTATGGCGGTTATAATCTTCTTAAGCGAGAAATAAGTGTCCGTTAATCCCTGCGCGAGTTTTCAGTTAATAGAATATAGTTAAGGATAGAAAATCTCATCGTTTTTAACCACTGTGTTTGCAAGGCGCCGTCGCTTGCCTTCTGTTGATTTAAATGTTTTCCGCCGGATATTCTCTTTATACAGTTGATGCTACCATCAATTAATAAATATTTATTCACAATATATTCAAATGTAAGTGTTTTATTTTTGTAGCACCCTTTTGCAATTTTTCTATGTTTTCTCTGATTTTTTTATTAGTATTGTTAATTTGTCAAGTTCGCTCTGCATATTGTGATTATTAACTCCTTTGTAGTTTCTAAAAATTTATTTTTGTAACACCCTGTATATTCGTTTTCCGAATAGCACGTAGAAAATCACCTTTAGTTGTGCGTTTTGAGTGTTCACTGTTTTTAACATAGAATTTTCTTTCTAGGACACCCTGTATATATATTTTCTTTTGTGTCCGTAAAAATTTTGCTTTTGCTGTTGTTTTTAGGATTTTCCCGTTTGCATTTTAAATTTTCTTTCTGGAACACCCTGTATATTAGTTTCTCTGATCGTCGAGTGAAAACGAGCGGCGTTTCTAGTGTTGAGTTTTTTCTTTGCCCCTTAAATTTTCTCTTTGTAACACCCTGTATATTTATTTTCATTTTAATAATATTTGCTAATTTCATTATTCCGGTAGAACTGTACAAAGTGCTACTTGCTTATATGTGCGAGGCTTAGCAGGTCGTAAGTCCTGTTTCAATATGGCGACATGTATTTTGTTGACATGTAAAATCTAAACGTGTATTCTATTGTTAATAAAGAAATAGTAAGATATATTTACTTCTTTTGATTTGTGCGGTACCCTCTATCATTACAGGCACAGGTCTCTAAGAAAGTTCCCTCTCTCAGGGGATGATCCCCACTATAAAATTGTTAAGGTATCCTGTGTGATTGTGTGCTCCATCTTTCATTTCAGCTACAGGTCAGAACTTGTAAGAATATTTTTAAGTGTCACTCCTCACTTGAGGCGACTTAAAACTTAGAAATATTTGGAACAAGACCTTATAAGGATTGTCCTTATAAGGAGTTCCTCTCTATGTTGGGGGTAATCCCCACCATAAAAAATTCGTTGATATGCCTGATACTCGGGGATGAAGCGCAGAGACATCGTAGCTGTAGGATGGGCCGGGACAATGGAAGGACTGAAGCAGTGGAAAGTATCGACTAGAGCCGAGTAAGTGCTCTGGGAGATCGACTGCAGACTGTCTTGAGCAACGACACGTGCCAAAAAATTTAAAAAATCTGATCCAATTTCTTGCTGCTCTTTCTTCTATCTCCAATTCCCTTTCTCTAACTCTCTGTTCTCTTCCCTTCTGTCTTCTTACCCTTCTCTGGCTATTCCTTCTTCTACTTCTCTTATTTCTCTGTTCTCCGTTTCTCCACTTACTTTCTTACTTCCTCTTATTGCCTTCACTTGTATTGCAACTTCTCTCTTATACTTGTTGTGAATTCATATATGCAACCCAAATTACACCTTGATATTTTTATATTTGAGAAAAGCCTCTACCTGGAGATTCGATCCGTACCTGCTAGCATGCCAGCAGTGCATCGTTTCACTTCGACCACCGAGTGTTTTATCATTAATATTTGATTCTTCTCTATTTGTTTCTATCATTCAACTTTTTAAAAAACAACAACACATGACTAGCTATGTTGTACACGTTTCACGCACACACAAGATTCATATACGCAATATATTTAAGACGCTTATCCTGAAAACGATAAAAAGGATATCACAAAAGAAATGTGAATGCGATTGAAATTTTAAATTATGCTTTATTAATTATATTTAACAGTATATTCTTCTTTCTTTTTTAATAAAACGAACGCTGAGGCCACGGATGACGCGTTCATGTGCTAAACCTCGAAAACCAAAATCAGAGCTGAAATACAGCAAAAAGTAAATTTTTCTCGCTAATTCGTAAGTTATTCATAAAAGTTATGTGTTTGAAAATGATTAAGAAATTAAATACTTACAATCTGATACAAGAATGGTTCTCCGACGATATCGGGCTTGGGTGCAGAACACCTAAAATAAGCAAAAAGTAGTCATTTGCAACACAAAAATGCTATTTTCGTCACTAATTCATGAGCTAATCCCAAAAATTAGTTATGAAAACGTTAAAGAAATTAAATACTTATAAAAGAATGGCCCTTCTACGATGTCAGAATCAGGTACAAAATCCCTAAAACAAGCAAAAACTAGTCCTTCGAACATATAAATGCAATTTTGGAGATCAATTTGTGAAATCATCACAAAATTTATTTATGAAAACGATAAAGAAATTAAATACTTACAATTCGATGCAAAAATGGTCATTCTACGATGTCAGACTCAGGTGCACTATCCCTAAAACAAATAAAAATTAATCCTTCAAACATAAAAATGCAATTTTGGGAGTGAATTTGTGAGATAATCACAAAAGTTATTTAGGAAAATGATAATGAAATTAAATACTTACAATCGGATGCAAGAATGGTCCTTCTATGATGTCAGACTTAGGTGCAAAACCTATACAACAAGCAAGAATTAGTCCTTCCAACAATCTTAACTTAAGAATGAAAACAATCTATGTAAAATTACAATTTACAAGTATTTAACAAAGTTATCATGTCTTCACATAGTATTAAAAACATAATTTATGTGACAAATAACATTTAACATATGTAGCAAACTTCTATTGCTTCAGCAATACAATGTGACTTGTAACTAAATTAATAGCAAGCAGCTTATCAAGTGCTTCACAACATGAGAACTATCACTTAACAAATTGTCTATAAATTACCACCTTGGCGGAGCATTTAAAATATTTTTACTGATTTGCTCAATAAAATAGTCTTGTGTTGCCTTTAGCAAGTGTAATAAGTTTATAACATTAGTTCTGCACTCTCTTTTTTAGCCAAATTCAATTTGAAACCCAAGCTTTGCCCTGTTTTTTTTTGTCCAATTATATTAAAAGCAGAAAAAATTATGGACGCTTGAAAGTGTTCATTCTTCTTCTTCACCCAGTCTTCTGGGCTCTGTGTATCACAAAATGTAAGATGTTGATGCTGTGTCCAAATCCATGGAATTCCCCAGTAAAAAAGGTAAATCTAAAAAGCCGAGTTTTAAAATGCAATTTCTAAATTTCTAGTTTTTTGAGCTTGAACTTTGAGTTACTGCATTAATTTAATAAAAACAAATGTAAAACTTTATATATTTATGTTTAATGTATTATATTTTATGTATAATTGTGTCGATGGTGTCAACCTACCGAGGCTTCGTTAACACACATGTTGTTTGTAAAGCGTATTTTACACTTTATAAAACACGTTAATATGCCAGTAAACTTATACTTATTTCCATTTCAGTACTACAGTGATATATTTGTAACACTACACATTGTAAAATTGAAATAAATAATTATATAAGTTATAACATTATTTTAATAAAGGCAAATGTAAAACTTTATATATTTATTATGTTTTATGTATTATATTTTATGTATAATTGTGTCGATTGTGTCAACCTACTGAGGCTTAGTTAACACACATGTTGTTTGTAAAGCGTACTTTCCACTTTATAAAATACGTTAAAATGTCAGTAAACTTATACATATTTCCATTTCAGTGTTACAGTGTTATAATTGCAATACTACACCGTGCAAAATAAAAATAAATAAATTATACCTCTTGGCCAGTCAAAATTTGATAGAATCATTGAAATCGATGAAGATGTTTCTTGCTTTACCGGAAATTACCATTTTCTATTGAATCCTTCTGGAAGAAACATGGAATGCACACCTGGTCCAAGATATCCGTAAGGTCTCGTTAAAACGTTAAACCTAAAAAAATCATTTATAAGATAAGATAATTAAATTTGAAAATTAAGAAAAAAAATTAATAATAAAAAATATCGCCGCATCATATTCTTTGAGTAATTTCGGTAACGAATATCATCTAAATTAAAAGCGCTAGCAACCAAAGGATTAAACATTATAAAAATTCGAAATATTCTATATAAGATAAGACAAAAACCTAATTAAAATTCAGGGTGTAAAGGTTCAGAAATCTCATTCAAATTAATAATTTAATGACTACACAAAACAAAACCACAAAAGAATTCTTAGACGACTTAGCCGTATTTTGCAATTCCGGACGTACGATATCTCAATAACTATACGCCGCACTTGTCTGGTAATTCTAAATCTTTTCTTTGTTGACCGTTTCTAATTCAAGTACGGACTTAAAATCACAAGAAATGCGATAATGCACCACGCCGCAGCTCACGATCGATATGTCAGATATGTCCGCGAATGTTTAATGAATATAAATTCACTTAATTATAATCTGAAGAGACAGAATTTATCGGAATGAACACGCGCGATTCATTCGGTGACCGAAATGGAACTGGATGTGCACGGCACTGCACACAGCCAACGGCAACAACACGCGGTCACTATCAATCTTGCGATACGCTCGTAGACTGCAACAAAAAATTGTGTACATACAAATATTTATCGTATCTAAACTATAAATGCATAGCAGTGCCAGTTTTAACACTACTAAAGTACTTGGTAAAACTTCTACGGCACCATAACTGAAAATCTTACAACCACTATTAATCGAAAATAAACAAAATTTGCGCCACTTCTCGACAACTCGTCTTCTATGATTAAAAAAAAATTAAAATCGAGCCAAGGAAACACGAAATAGAGACCGTTTTCCACCATAAGTTTTCTCAAAATGACAAAATTGCTGGAATTTGAAAACGATTTCATGACACTTTTCAACCTTAGAATGCCTCAATATATAGTCCAATTAACAATTCTTTTTCTATAATTCGAAGGAAACAGAATTAAAATCCCGGCAAGAAAACAGTAGTTACAGTTTTGCAGCTCAAATTAATGAACGAGCGCCATCTAGTTGTGATATTCCGAAATGTTTAATAACGATAATTATTAAGGTGCGATACTAGCGCCACCTAGTGCCGCAGGCCTCAACAACCTAATTACCTATGAAGTAGGAAACTGTAATGCAGCTACCAAAATACAGAAACACCAACTGTGAACCCAGTTACAACCGTGGCAATTCTTCAACCGCACAACAGCCGCAAAATAACAATACACAAGAGACATATTCACACATATTATTTATGAATATGATTGAAACTGTCAATACTCACAATATGATGTACCAGTATGTACTACCGTGGTGTGAAGTACGTTTAACTAGGTCCCTAAAACTAATCAAAGATTAGTTCACGATTGTGCAAAAATTATATCTTTCTGTTAATAAGAAATATTAATGATATATTTAAATTCACGAAATTCAGAAACTCTATCCATGCAAATCCATGCTGTCCATTTTAGATTAATATTTGGCGCGTTATTTATAAGTATATTTGTCACAACAGAATTTCCAATTGCTAACAGGTTACCTTATTTTATCACCAAATTATTCAAAAAATACAGTACTCAAAAAGTAACCTTATCACATGAGTTACTAAGCTAATAATAATACCAATTAGATATATATTGCGCTGTTAAACTCAAAATATTTCAGTGTGTTTCTGACGAGTTGAACCAAACAATACTAGAATCATGAGGGCAAATATTTTGTTCACTGTAACCTTGTGCATAGCAGTAAGTTAAAAAGTTTGCAACTAATACCAATTTAAAACTATAATTTCTACTTTTACATAGAGCTCGATTGCGTTGCCCACTTCAAATGTGAAGCCAATTAGCAACTTTGACAACTGTTTCGAAATTTTGATAAACTCTACTGCTGAAGAGTACATGACCAATAATAAAATAGTGGAAGAATGTGCAGCCACAGGCTGTCAGGAACAGATCAAAGCTATCGAGCAAGAAAACGAAAGGCTTAATGGCTATGTACATTTATGGTATATCATTGAATACTGATTGCCTCCCAGGATGCAACGGAAATAAAGAATGCGAAGAGAGCTGCGCTGCTACCGTATGACAATCTACTGCAAGGATGTGTGATAAACCTCAACGTAATGATCAATATGAGTCTCGGTAAAATGCTGGACACATGTCCTAAAGTAAGCGAATGCGCTCGCTCCGCTTACGATATATTTGTCAATAAGAAGATAATTGCTGCACGTAGAGAATTTGTCAGTTGTTTGTCAGTTTAATTTGTTTCTTTTTAAATTAAAAAATCAATAAATATATGGAAATAAATAATACTATACGAACCTTAATATAAGTAAAAGAAGTCTTGTCCCACATCCTTTCAGGTTTTTAGTCAAATTAGAAATAAATAAAGTAAGGAAATAGAGAATTTATATACACACCTGTAATTTATCCGTAATCCTCGAAAATTTCGAATCGGAAACGACTAGACTTCGACGACTCGGCCAAATTCTAGAATACAAAAACACATATTAAGCATAAATTTAACAGAAATGTTGTTACAGTAATAGATATTCATTCATATACCTACTTTTTGATGCAAACACTGCCGACTTCATTATAATTCTGTTTTGTATAAGCAAAATTATTTTATTTCAGCCTATAGTGATAAGTGTACTTTACAAATATAATATTGGAATGCACAATTAATATTATTCCTAAGTAGTAAGCAAACAAATATAAAAGTGCCTTTGAAACTGAAATATCTCAGACCCACCCAATTTTGATTCACCATAAACTCTATCAACAAATGTGATTGGGACTTCCCCAATAGTATAATTAAGCTGTCTGGCGCAGATAATCTCATCTCCATTTGAAAAACATACCCCTTGGATACACAATTATCAATCAACTTTTGAAGAACATCTTTTTTGTACAAACGAAATGAACCTGTCAGGTCACTGTACCTGGTCATATGTAATTGAGGAAGTTAGCACCTCTGGATACTAACTTCCTCTTAAAGTCCCAACCATAAACACCACCATCTCCCACATATCTTGTTCCAGAAACAAGATCATAGTTGTTTTTTTGTTGTAATTCTATAAATTGTGGAATAGCTTTGGGCTGAAATTTCAAATGGTGTTTTTGTTTTGCTGGACATATAAAGTTATTCATTGCAAAAAATTAAACTTACATGATGACTTAAATCAGCATCCATGATAACAATGAAATTACCAGTTGCATGTTTTATCCCATGAATGTATGCTGTTCCCAAACCAAGTTTCTTTTCTCTGGGGCCGAAGTACAATCTTAGATTCACCATAAATCTTCTGAAGTGCTGGAAACATGTTGAGTTCCATCTGGTGATCCATCATCAATGACAATATTTCATAATCAAAACCACTGAAATAAAGACATTTGTAATAAGTTTGCTTTCTTGGATCTCAATAAAACTCACCTTTCATCCATGTATTTTATTATCAACCATATTATTATTGGTAGATTTTGTACTTCATTGTACGTTGGCAACAGTATGGAATATTTGTTTTCTCACCAGCAGTAATGGCAATAATAACGATAACACAGTCGGCAGGCTTAGTCAACTCACTTAAATTACACTATTCTCAGTTTCCTTTAACCTCACTTTCAAGTGCCAACCAGACACAAATTAATATGCACTATCTAAGTATTGTATATACTTGTGAAGTAAATAAACATGATTTAAATTATCAGCAACATCACTACATCAATACCATACTTATGTCTAAACTTGAAACATTATATTATAGACAAAATTGCACTGTTTACAATGCAGTTTAGTAAAGTAGTAGGGTGGAAAGATCATATACAAAAGGATGTTGCATATATGGTAGAGAAAAGTATTCAGAATTTGAAAAATAACATCGCAAAATGCATCTATCGAACCAATTATATTCCATGTATATTGTTAGACAATAACAAATTATGTTTTATAATTTTAAAAATGTTTTATCAGATTAGGAGTTTCCAATGACAGACTTAGGTACTCTATTTTTATCAAAATTGTAACTGATAAAGAAAATTCCCAGTTTTATTAAAACTTCACTTTATATACTCTGCAAGATGTTGCGACACTGTCATGCTCATTTTTTAATTAGTTTTATATCAGCATTTTTACTGAGAAATTCTGTATTATTTTAGTATTTAAATAGTTGGTATTATGAAATTCAATGATTTGCTATTGTATAAGTGTGGAATTCGTTTGTGGCTATCTCCGCCATTATCTATGGGAAAATTTATCCGACCGTTGTACGAGAATTGGAGATGCCTTAAGTGGCTTTGAATTGTACTTTACTTTGTTTGTTGTTGTAAAATTTCATGCCTGATGAATTTTCATCGATATATCCTGCGTTTTTATTTTATCGTTTGAAAAAAACTTGAAATAATTAGTTTAAATCATCAATCAATTTTAAAAGTAAACAGGTTGATAGAACAACACCATGAAGAAATCGTTTCTGTTGATGATCCTATATTACCTACACGCAAGCACTTACGAACGTAATGTTACAACCAGCTGCTGTGTTGTCGACAACATTCAGCTGAAAACTGCTAATCTGTATTCATAATAAACAAAATGGGAAAATGCGCGAAAGTTGTAATTTGTGGCATGAAAGGCGTAGGCAAAACAACAATACTGGAACAAGTAATCTATGGCAATATCTCACCTGCAACAGTAAATAATTGCAAAACAACAATCACTTAATTCCACTGCTTAAAAACAATGATCTTCTAGGTCTTCTTTCCAACAATTGAAGATATTTATGTTGCAAATATTGAAACTGACAGAGGCACCAAAGAAAAAGTAAGGTTCTATGACACAGCTGGCATAGAACAAGCACAAACCAGCACTGCTAATGGCACCACAAGTCAACAATTGCCAAGGCATTATTTAGCACTGGCTGATGGATATGTACTTGTTTATGATACTGATAAATTTGAATCTCTCAAGGTGTTGATTAACTTAAAGCAAGATATTGATAAGAACAAGGACAAGAAAGAGGTGACCATCATGGTGATAGGCAATAAGACTGCTGAGATAGATATGAATGACTACAACAACACATTAAACAAGGCAGTAAACTGGTGCAGTGCTGAAAAAATCAAACACTTCTGTGCTTCAGCTATGCAGCAGTCTACTTTATTTGAATCTTTTGTTTACTTGACCAGTAAATTGAATCCTCCACCTAGTAAAAGTACTTTTTCTCAATTGTCAATGGGAAGGAGAGTCTCAGCTAAAGAATCTTGAAGAAATCATACGAAATTTTTTACTAGTTTAAGAGATTATTTGTATTAAACATTCCCTCTCATATATTTATAAATATTGTTTAAGTTTGGTATTTATTATAAACTGCACAAATCGATTGGAATAAAAGCAAATGTTTATTTTAAAGCAATCAATATTTTTGCCATATTTTTCTCCTTTGAATTTAATTACTTTGGAAGACAAGTAATGACGCGTTGTTATAATTTACTTGCGCGTGCAATAGGATATTCCTGACAACTTGTTGTTTAAAACGATGAAAGTCAAAAAAACAATTAATCTTCTACAAACTCTGTGTTTTCTTTTACCTTTTACCGCATATTTCCTTATTTTTATACCACATTGCATAATGTTTTTAACATTCCGCGACAAAATTGCAAAAAGAATATATATATATAAGAATTTACTGCACCAAATATAAGTTAATAGCTGTAAGCAGCTTAACGAGTTAATATTAAACATAAACAATGCACGACATTGAAGAACCTTTTATTGGATGTAAAGAAATACCCAGAGCTTCTTATCACTACAAGTTTCGCCAGGTAATAAATAATTCACTAACATATCTAATAAATGTGCAGTATTGTACAACCGGATATATTTTAGTACCTCTTAGCAATTGTTTGCATGCTCCAGTCACTGTGTGCTGGCAGTGCATTTTCATTCTCTTCTGTATTGGCAACATCAGAAATTTCCTTTAACACAACTCAATATTCATGGATCGGTGCGTAATTTTGAAATACTCCAAAAATATTTTAAAACTTTATTATTGTTTAGCATCAATACCAACATTGTCCATTCTTCCAATGGTTCTTACTGCTGGTTGGATACTAAACTGGATTGGGAGACGTTTTGCATTGGCACTGACAATAATCATCACGTTAATATCATGGACAATGTTATTCTTTTCCCAAACGTACGAGCTCATGTTTGTCAGTCGACTCTTATCAGGGATCTACACAGGTTTGGCTTATCCAATTATGTTGGTTTACCTAGCCGAAATAACCGACCCTAAAATTCGTCCCCAATGTTTGACAAGTGTCCCATTTGGATGCAATTTGGGAATAATGCTGACACAATTACTGGGCTCTTTTGTTCATTGGAGAACACTAGCAATGCTCGTGTGCGTATTACCGGTAATTAATATGGCAATTTTATTATATATAAAAGACTCATATGTTTGGCTCTTGAACAAAAATCGGGTTGACGAAGCAAAAAAGGCTTTTACGTGGTTCAGAGGTACTGGACATACACAGAAATCAGAATTTCTGTCAATCTTAGATATGGAAATTTGCAAGATTAGTTCAGTCAAACAAAAAATCAAACAATGTTTTAAGATGTCATTCATCAAACCATTTCTGCTAACGTCGTTATTGTTTCTCACAAGTGAACTCTCTGGTGATGGTGCTGTGATATTCTATACTTCAAATATTATAAAAACCATTACCAAGAATGCAGACGCGCAGTTTTATTCAAATTTAGTTTTGAATGCTCTTAGAGTCATAGCTACATTTTTAAGTACCATATTGTTTAATCGGTTCTCAACTAGATCAGTGTTAATATTTAGTGGTTACTCTTTAGCTTTATCATTAGGCAATTTTTCATTATTTATGTACTTAAGTAGAGTCTACCCGGAGAATACTCATTATCCAGTTGTTTGTTTAGTTTTAATAATAGCAAATGTAATGTTTTTTGGACTTGGCGTAGGCCCAGGGCCCACGGTAATATGTGGGGAAATTTACCCATCAGTTCTGAGGGAAATTGGCGGAGCACTGAGTTCATTTGTACTGTTTGGAACATTGTTTGTGATTGTCAAAGCAATGCCGTATCTATTCGAACTGGTTCATCACGAGTGTATATTTTTAGCATTTGCGTTTTGCACGTTTACTGGCATAAGTATAATTTATTATGTTTTGCCCAACACGAAAAACAAAACATTAACGCAATTAGATTTAGTATATGCGTCTTAAGTCGTATTAGCAAAATGTTATTTAAAAATAAGTTGTATATTTTTATAAAATACAATTAGGCATATTTATATATCACATAAATAATTATAAACTTAATAGTAATGAGCTACCTTAATAAAGGTAATACACTTACATGTTGTCAATGCGGTTCTTCAAATTCTTTAATTCAGCATCAATTGCAGCAGGTAAATCCTCACCAACCTGTTCCTTAAAGTACTTGTCAATTGATTGTGCTTCTTCTTCCCAGAAAGCTTTGGGAATGTCAAAGAGCTCATCCATGTTTACATCTTCATCCATACCTTCGAGATTCAAAGTGTTTGGTTTGGGAATTAAACCAATAGGAGTTTCTTTGGCACATTCCTCGCCATCAATCCTTCGAAGGATCCAGTCCAAAACGCGAGAGTTCTCACCGAATCCAGGCCACAAGAATTTACCTTCGCTGCTCTTGCGGAACCAGTTAACGTGGAAAATCTTTGGGAGTTTGTCTGAACGTTGCTCCATGCTCAGCCAGTGAGACAAATACTGACCAAAGTTGTAACCGAAGAAAGGTCGCATAGCGAAGGGATCGTGCATGATCACTTTACCTTTGTGTTCGGCGGCAGCAGTAGCTTCACTTCGCATTGCTGATCCGACAAAAACACCATGACGCCAGTTTTTGGCTTCGTAAACTAGAGGTACACCAGCTGGACGACGACCGCCAAAGAGAATGGCAGAGATTGGTACACCTTCGGATGCTTCCCAAGCAGGATCGATAATTGGGCATTGCTCAGCAGGTGAGCAGAATCTGTAATGAACAAAAATTAAGTTAGTTACATGTTTACAAAGAAGCCATTTTCATAATAAGTAATAAAATCATTGATTGTGACAATTACCTAGAGTTAGGATGAGCTGCAGGTGTCTTGGTTTCTCCCTTAACCCAGGGACGGCCCAACCAGTCAGTAATCTTAACATTATCAAAGTTGATTTCTTTCTCCATGCCTTCCCAGAAAACGCCACCGTCACTTGTAGACGCAACATTGGTAAAGATTGTGTTTTTAAAGATGGTCTTCATGGCATTCGGGTTGCTAGCATTGGAAGTACCAGGCGCAACACCAAAGAATCCATTTTCAGGATTGATCGCCCTCAGTTGTCCATTTTCATCGAATCTCATCCAGGCGATATCATCACCCACACATTCAATTTTGTACCCAGGCAAAGACGGATTCATCATGGCCAAGTTGGTCTTACCGCAAGCCGATGGGAAAGCAGCAGCGATGTACTTCTTCTCACCCTTTGGGTTGGTGATGCCCAAAATAAGCATATGTTCCGCCAACCATCCTTCTCGCTTGGCAATAGTAGAACCGATACGGAGAGCAAAGCACTTCTTGCCCAGCAAGGAGTTACCACCGTATCCACTACCATAAGAGACAATCTCATTCTCTTGTGGTTTGTGCAAGATTATGGTACGCTCGGGATCACAAGGCCAGCTTGGCATCTCAATCGTACCGTTAGCAGGTGTGCCAACGGAATGAAGACATTTGACAAATTGATCATAGGTGGTGAGTTCATCCAGAACAGCTTTACCCATACGAGTCATCACCCTCATAGAAGACACAACGTATGGGGAATCAGTCAACTCAATACCAATCTTGGAAAGCGGGGAACCAATGGGACCCATCGAAAAGGGTACCACATACATGGTACGGCCACGCATGCAACCAGTAAAGCGTTCTTTAACAGCCTTGTCCATATCAGCAGGGGACATCCAGTGGCCCAAAGTTCCTTTGATTCCATCTTTAGGTGTTGGAATGGTGTCACCACGGCGTTCAGTGCAGATGAAGGTCTTGGATTCAACGCGGGCAATGTCAGCAGGGTTGGTTCTAGCTAACCAACTAAAGAAAACAAATAAAATTAATAAAAATCGAATATTTTGTACACAATAATAAATAGTAATAGGTAATAGAATATAACGTACCAGTTTTGATACTTGGGCAAAGGAACAATGGTGCCTTGCTGTTGAAGAAGATTCAACAAGTGTTTGTTTTCGCTTTCGCTACCATCGCAGATGTGAATGCGTTCTGGTTGGCACAGCTCCACATTCGACTCCAGATAAGTTCTAGCCTTGGGTGTCAAATGCTTCAAATCGCCATGGACAACGCTGATGCCGCGGAGATGATTGAAAAGACCCACATTTGGATGGGCCAATTGCTTGGCAAAACGTCCCAAGTCAGCGGAATATCTGCAAATTAAACATTAAAACATTAATAACAAATTCCAATCAATTGACTAATCAACTTTAAAACAATAGTTAAATGTTTAGAATTAAAGTACTTACGTGTTCGACTTTTTGTCAACAATATCAGGCATTGTGAGTGATTTGTTTGAATACTTTTTCTACCACGAAAATTTCAATTATACTGTTTCACTACTCTCGGAAGATTACACTTAGTTGAAATTAAGTGTAACTCTTATGGTACATAGAATAAAACCCGAAGATAAACTGCAAGTAGTACTGCTTGAAGTTCGAAACGAAACAATTAGTTCGATGATATTTGGGAATGAGTCGAAGTAATCGCTTGTCGTTCGCCAGTGTAAATATCTTTTGACTAATTGGAGAAGACTTTATTCAGCTTGTTCGCTGGAGACAACCAACTCTGAATTGACTTCGATGAGGAATGGGCCCCGCTTTTATACACTGAAAAGCGGTTTGGACATTGTCAGGAGACTCCGGTTTGGAGTGGGGCGGAAACAACGGGGATTCCGTCTTATCGCGAGACTCATTTGGCGATTCGACTTTGTCATTAAAAAATTCAACTGATAACTAATACTATATTACATTTTGATCAAATTACTTGGTAATTTGGTCAAAGATTTTTAAACTGGTTTTAGTTGGATTAGTTACAATTGCTTCGATTTAATTTAATAATTGGTAAATATTTAGTTTATAACTAGAATTATTTTAAACTGTTTAACCAGAAACCAGTAAAATCTTGACTTTAAATAAATATGAAATAATTCAATATTTCTAATCTTAAATCTTTTCTTTAAACGGAAAAATGTGCAAAATTTTCCATAGTTTCTTTTATTTAACATTTAAATCTCATCTATCTCTGTTTAGGGATAAGATGGCTGAGATAGTTTGGGATAATTACAGTGCAGGTAGAAAAATGGTCCCACAAATTGCCGAAATTCCATTACAGCCATAAATTCTAAATTCTCCCTAATGTAGTTCGGTGAATTTGGCCGCAAAGGCCATTGTGTTATAATATTATATTCCAAAGTTTTTTCTTTATCGAGATTGTACTTTATTCGGACCTCGAGACGAGATATTTCAAAGACCTCAACTTATATTCGACAAAGTCAATTTACATTAGAATACAGTTCACAAATCAAGTTTACAGAGGCATTTAAACTTGCATATTAACAATGAATTATAGTAAAATGAATCATATTTGTACGTACGATATTCATGTACCGGATTTTTGTACTATTGCACTTGTAGTACCTTTGAATTGTTTATTTTGAATTTTGTGTTGTGATACCGCACATCAAACTCCATAATCTAGCAATATAATTGAACTTTGAAGCTGAAAAATGAATCCGGATTCTCTACATCCTGTGTGTATGAAATTGAAATATAAGTTGATAAGGAAAGTTTCAAATTTCAATTTGAAACACACCTTCATCAGCAGTATTACATCATTGTGTACGATAGGCGCCTTTCTACCTTGATTAAATGCGTAATAGTTTAAACTCAGGTTGTTTGTGTATTGGTTTAGTGCGATAGTAGTAAATGAATGTGTGTTGAATGTTTTGCTATCGCCGGTAGCATTTGTAAAGTCGGTTATTGATTGTGAGCGTGTGCATATTTCGCAATTTCGCGCGATATGAACTCTCTCGTCAGCATAGCAACGACAACTTATGATTGCATCAGCTCACACACCCGCCGTCTCGACCAATCAAATCGCGAGTAGCGAGCGAGCCCATAAAATTTTACGAAATGGCTGAGCGTGAACGGCAACCAGTTGTTGTTCGGTTGTTCCCATTATGGCGCGAACGACGCGGTCGATTATGAGAAGGTCAAGGATTGAAAAAATTATTACCTTTGTCACAGGTCTTCGTGACGTGAATGCGAAGGGGCCCGTCAAGCGTGGTGAATTATTTTTTAAATGAAATTAAAACAAATCCGAATGTTACTAGTTTTTGAATGTTTTTTTTGAGTTTGATATTATAATTCTATTAGACACAGTCTTAATGAGTCTTTGATTTGTATCTAGGTACTAATTAGACGTGGACTGACTTTTACGACGTGCTTACGTAATCGCAAAGGTGGATTTATAGGTGACATGTATTTTTAGCATAAGGTTTGAATTTGGATAGTAATAAATTCTGATAACAAAAAAGTAGCTACTATAAAACTTGGATGAAATAGCGAATGTCACCTGCATGGCAACCTAAAACAAGTTACTACAAAAATACTACAATCTCGCATGTTTTTCTTGTATTTTATCGTTTTATGTTGTTAAATATTCATCAAATTGTGGCGTGATGTGATCAATAAAGAAGAAGGAAAAATAGCCATAAATAGCTTCACCATTGGCCCACCAAAACTAAGTTTAAATTTTACTGAAATAAATAATGTTGCATGCTGAATAGGTACACATCGTGCATCTTATCACAGTGTACCTTTGATAATACTATTTCAAAGTCCAATTACAAAGTATTAAATTGCAATATGCAGTGTCGAAATACATATGTAGCCTCAGATAAAAATTTTACGTTGCTGTTTACAAGGATATCTTCCCTTTCAAAACTTGTTATGGATACTGCAATCAGTGCGCAAATTTCATACACACAACCAACAGATTCGACTCGAATCAGTAGTCGTCACGTCAGTGATTGCTTTCGTCACATCATGTCACTTGTATTCGACGCGTCACGTTTGGTATCGAAGCAAACACAGCAAGAAATCATTATCTTATTACTAAGAGAAATGATGAAAACAAGAAGTCCCCGTAGTTATCAAACATGTTTTGCACGAATTTCGGCTTCCAATAATAACAGTTGATATATTTTCTGGTAGTTAGGAGATTTATATTGGCCAATATTTACATGAAATGGCTCATTTTTTATATTCGCAAATATGACTTGCGATTGCATCAACTTGTTTTTCTGTAGCTTTTTGAGAAATCAGACAGGATATTTGTTATCTTGGCTTACTATGTCAGGCTGACGAAACCGCAGGCGAGATGCGAGACGAGCCCCCAAATTGTAGATTAATTAAATATGCGGTCTATTAATTATTTTTAGATTAGGGAAGTATCCGAAAACTGCTGACTTATCTGTATATTATAATGTACGTAAATAGCATGAGTCTCATGTCTATATTTAAAAAAATGCATGCTTCAATTTTTATAATAGACTAACAATAATCATTTTTATACCCACAAAGAAGAATGCTATCTCTTAACTTGTATCAAAAAGGCACGTTTTCGAAAATATTATTAAAATTAGTGCTGTTTTTCCAGAATTCTGAACAAAGAGTATTTTTACACTTAAATTGTAAAAATGAATTAAAAACTAAGATAGCTCTTAAGGAGCAAGTATAAAAGAAAAAAAAATGGTGCAATTATAAACCAAATTATTTTCAACTCCTTGAAATTTGATCCGAGATAATTACCCAGTTGCAAAGTAGTAATATCCGGTAATGCAACGTCACGCGAGTGTCACATAAGACGAGCCCCCTTTTACAAACAAGATTACCGCAGTCGGTTAGTGACAGCGCTTGGCAGATGCGATTGGTCAACAAATTCCTATGTTGATCCGAACTACTGCGTTAAGCCACACTGGCTTAGCTACAAACATCGTCAGAAAAAAAGAGTTTATCAGCAAATGCCTACACGTATTCCTAAGCAGCCGATTGTGACGTAGCTTTGGTAGCAAGAGATGAATATATGTATTTATTACTGACACACATTTTATACGTCGCCAGCGATTAAAAAATTATTTGTTGCCAACTTTACCATAGCACGTATTACAAAAACAACATTGATTACGTGCATAATGTAATCTAAGTAGTTGAGTCAGTATGGAATTTTACAACTATCGCAAGAGTATAATGCGACGAGAGTATATTGCTTTATCTAAAACGGACGTGATTTAAATAGTAAACTATTGTTCAGCCAATGTAATTTAAATTAAATTTTCAATAAAACCACTAAAGTAGAGAAAGCAGTATGGTATTATTAAACATTCTTCAAAACGTATAACTGAACTATTAAGTGACATATTTTATTAAATTTTTGCCTTTTTACTTTTTTTAAAAAAGGCATAGTGCGGCAGCCATTTTTAATTCACACCTTATTAAAAAATACAAATATTTTAAAATTAAAAATTGCCAAGTGACTTTTTATGGTGACAAATTGTAAATTGCATTACGACGCCCCAAAGAAAATTAAATCTAATAAAAAGATAGCAATAAACATGTAAATAATCCAAAAACTAGGTACAAAAACGGTTATATTTTATTTGCGTACCTATAATTGTTAGGCAACCAAATTCGCACGCTCGTTACCAAACTTATTCACTACTCAAATACAGCTGCAATCTAACGCCTTGCACTTGGACCTTTAAAGTCGCGTTATCAGTTAGGTAACTTTGCATCACACAATAAACGAAACAGCAATGTTCAATTAACCATATGTTTTATTGCCTTGAAATCTGTTTCCTTAAATAATCCCATAGTAAAAAACCAACGGTCAGAAGAAAGGGTAAATCTTACCGCATATAAGAACAATCAAATGCTCAACAATTATTTAATTGAGATATTTATAGCGCTTCTCTATCATCGCTTCGAAGCCGTATTGTAGTTACACATGCCAACACACAACTCATCGCAGATTTCATTTCACACCACGGTCATTTCAATTAATCAATTCCGTAACACGAACGCACCGCTTGAGAAAATAAATTATAAAAAAATTAGCTCACCTTGTCAAAAAGAAAATCATCGTAGTCGATTTACTAAAAGTGGCAAATCCTGTAAAAAAATCAATTCATTTGCGTAAATTAAAAATGCAAATATTCATCGACGAATGGAAAATTTGTTTATCACCGCGCAAAGACAAAACAAGATAAGAAGTGGCTCAACTACAAGTCAACTACTCACACTAGAAGTCGTATTGATTGGAAACAAATCGTTGGTCGGTAACAACAACGAAGAAATTCGGTTACGTAGATTCGCGCACGTTCGCACTGGTGTCGACGTATGTATTTATGAAGTTGTCGCGTACTCCACACTGGCCCTAGGAAAGTAAAGCGCCCGTTTCGGTTGTTTGTATCTCATCCGATTATGGGCAAGCAACAACAACGGAGCAACAAACGTAATAACTAAATGAACGTTTGCGTAAGTGTCGGGATACAACTGAGCGTGTAATGTAACGCTTCTATAACGCACTCGCAGCACGTATAAATACACGATTTATCGAAGGATCGACCGGGCGCACATTGTTTACCACGGTCAATTATCAGCGAATCTATCGAAAATATCAGTCAGTGTTCTTCATTCACGGACACACGGAGATAAATGTGTTTGTTGCAGAGATGTGCGAGTGGGGTTCACGCATCGCATGGAAACACACCGCGAGCATTGCGACAAACGAAAGCAATTAACGCCGTTATCAATAATTGTCTTCGCTTATTTGGATAACATCGGCGACCCATTAGAGTTCGTCACAAGCTTGTGATTATATCATCTGTTTTTACATGTTGTTCTCATCGTCGATTTGGATTATGACATAATGCAGTGTATTGCAACAATTATGATAAAAATTAATATATTTGATCAATTATATGGTTTCTGGATTAGATATTTTATGTGTTTATTTGGCAAATTGCATGTTATCGCTGTTGGGGAGTTATGTATTGCAGAAATGCATAAAAATGGCGAGGACCATTTTTGATAGATTATACACCATCCATCAAATTCTCATACGAAGTTTTAGCGAATGCAACATATTCTTTCACGTTATTTCTTTCCAAGATATTTAATAAATCATTAGCGACTGCTTCCCTGTTCTAAAAATAAACAATTTTAGTAAATAAGGTGTAAGCAAATGTGTATTAGTAATTTTCACACAATCGGTAAAACTTAAACCCCTAAGCTCCAATTACAAACCAAGTCTACTCTTAATATAAAATTTAATTTTATGTCCATAAAATTGCTAACAATACATTATAAATCACTTTGTTTGGACTTGGCAATTACGACTTTTTAAACTTACGTTTATTTTAATGTTGTAACCTTCCACAAAATTGAAAATCAATTTCACTGTTTCATCATTTTCAGCTTTACTGACCTCTGAAAAGAAAACAGAATTAATACGTGTTCTAAAAGATTATTGGGCACTTACCAGCAACTGCAAATATATTTGCAAAAACTAAGACGACCAATACGGCAACAAAAACTTTAACAAACATGATTGTTGTTAATATTTAACTGCGGAGTAAAACACTACGCCAATTGATTAAGTTAACTGTTGATATTGTACAAAATTATACCTACATGTTATCAAACAAAATATAATGCGATAGGCTGGAAAATTAACTTTATCTAATCAATCATAAGCAATATAAGCACTAATAAATAACTTTCAACAAAATCCACTATAAACCAAGTCATAAAAGTGTTTGAAATTGGAAAAGCTGTAAAATATTTATTATTTCAATTAAGCTTAATGGGTTTGATAATAATTTATGATTCCTAAAGCCTAGAGAGGTTTTACCAAAAACAAAATGGCGCAGATTGTAATTAGAGAACACACGTGTCGCATAAAGATCTAAAAACACGCAGATTTTGTAGGATAATAGCCTTATTATATTGATTTATTAAATATGACACATAGTGTTATCTTTGATGACAATAGTGCATACTTACAATGAACTTATGACTCGTAATAAATAAATCCTAAACAAGCTAAGTAACATTTAACAATTATTATTTCATTGTCCTCTTAGTATAATAACATCTACTTTCTTCATTTAGTGGTCGCTCCAATTGTGAATCGTTTCTCGCCAGCTTACATTAAACGCATTGTTTCAAATGAACTTAATTTCTTACTTTTATAATTCGTCGTTTGTTAGTTCGAGGCGACATTCAAATCAAGTCAAGTGAACAAGTTCGTAGCGTTGCGGAACTTATGAAAATCAGTATGTACTAATTAAATAGTTGATTACAAATTACAATAATTAACCTGTTCCGTTCGTTCTAAAGATGAGTATATTCATATAGAGTATGAGTTCATTTTTACTGTCGTTACCATTCTCATTATAGGGTAGGAATTATACACGTACTTTCTATGAATTGTGCTATGGTTTGTTTCATTTTTATACAAGTGCAAGCCACCAATTTAACAAATCTACCCAAATAACAATAGTAAAAGTAACAACACTGTACAGGATTTTCATACAATTTTCATATTTTTGGTATAATTCTCGAATGTTTCTTTTGCCTCACAATATGAATGTATAATTATTATATCGTAATGTTACATTATCATTATATGTATCATGGTTCACGCACTTTAACTAGTAATAATGTATATATAGTCTTTTAAAACATAGTAATGTGTGTACGTAATATGCAGTCAGCTGTTCCTGCGCTAAATATTAATTACATGCTTGAGAAAAATAAGGAATCGCCAATTTCGCCGGAACACTTAGATTTCGAGTCGGTGGTTTATGCTTGAATGTGAACAGCCGAACGGTAGATAACATTTTAATTCTCAATCAATGGTCGAGTATTGACTAAAAAGCTATAATCTCATTTTTATAATATCTATATTTATCATATATTATTAATATTTATTATGTTAGTATTTTTGGGCGAGCGATATCTGCTAATTTGTTATTTTAAGGTGAAATGACAGCACTAAACGATGAAAGTCAGCAAAAGCAAACCACAGAATAAGAAAATTTAAATGATAATAAAGCATCATATTGGAAAAAGTTCGTTACAAAGTTTAGTGTTGCGATTTCACGTTAACTTGGTTTAATTTAAATCTCAATTTTAATATAATTTCACCATCGAAAAAGACTGATTAAATATAGGCATGTTATAGGCACCATTGACGAAAACGTTTTCAAATCGATGTTAATTCTCAGGAAGCCGTATCACGCAAATTAAAATTCGGAAATATCATTAACATAATCTCTCTAATCTCTCTCGACAAATAATACTAGGCCTTAGAGGTGTCTTTGTTCTTAAATAATAAGTTTTTAAAACATAAAAAAAAAATATAACATTCTATGTACATGACTATCATCAACATGACTTGGAATGAATTTCAATAAGTATGTATGAATTTCCACCTTCGTGTGTTAGTATCATAAGAATCAGTGCGGTTGGTTGATATTTGAAATAAAGGTGACATGTGTTTGTTACCGAGTCTGTTGAGAAGCGTACGCTAAACAAATGAAAAACACCGAGTAGTGAAATGCTTGGTTTCTCTCATACGTCAAAACTAGTATGGACAACCGAAAGATAATGATATGTCATTCTCCTGACGCTACCAACAAGCTAGAAATTGAAAATAGTTCATCAACAAATGCACTCACAGGTTAATACAATAACACTTATATGCTACAGTTTATTATCCACTTTGCTAAGGGCTATCGCCAACTCGAGATCGGCTTGCTCCTGTAATTGTCTCTGTTTGCGTTGCTCCTCCAGCACGAGACTATCCTGCGCGGCCCATGCGATCTGCTCGCTCTCATCAGGCAGCTTGTTCTTGCTAATCGGCGGTGCCGATTTGCGGCCACTGGCTGCGCTTGGTGCGGATGCGGGCAGAGGCACCGACTGCCGCCCGCCAAGGCTGAACGGGTCAAACTTATCCTCAGTTGCGCCTCCTTTGTCGTCCGTTTCATCTTCGTCATCGAACGCGATGTTAAATGGGTCTTCATACCTATAGTTGCGGAATGGATCGTCTGTGAATTCAAGAGCTTTGCCTACAGACTCCGGTTTCCTGGGGGCGGCGATCGGTGGATTCGTAGGCGGCGCGCTGGATTTCTCGGAAAACTGAAGAGTAGACGTACATGTTATTAAGGCTGTAAATGATAACGTGTGTTAGTAGACGCTCCTCTGGAAATCCCTCGCCAATTATCGCTGGCCAACAAAAACGAAACCTACTTAGAACATAAAATAAACAAAAATAAACGTTCCATGCCGTGAAACAACTCATTTCGGTGCTGAAATTTACAAGTAAATACAAAATACAAAAGAAAAAAATAATGAATAAAAATCGTACCACAATCAGATCGGGAGAGGGGTCATAAAAGGATGTTGGGGGTCGGCACACATTAGGAAATCGTACAAGTGCATAATTAATGTCCGGTAGAAAACTACGATGCAAACACTAGACGTACAAACATCAAATTATAAACACTGCTTCAATTTGCAACAAGTATCTTACCTTAGAATCAAAGTTTGCAAAGTCTGCAAACCCTCCGCTTGAGAACGGATCTGCGTTCGAACTGAATGGATCAGGTTGGGTGTTTGCGTTGAACTTTGGTGGTTGGGGTCGTGGCGGTGCGGGTCGTGGTGGTTTTGCTTTCTTTGGCGGCAGCGCTGGACTGGGACTTGTGGGTCGGCCAGGCGCGGAGCCGTCTCTGGTAGGCGCGTGTAGAACAGCGAATGGATCACAACCGAAAGCGTCTTTATCGGGCTACAAATAAATAAGCAATATAAAAATATCTCTTATAGTTATTATCTAAAACTAATATTACCTCGGGAGTAACAGAGGTGTTTTTATTATCACCAAAAGCGTTGAAGGGATCTGCCTTGTTGGTTGTCGTTCCGAAGTTGTTGAATGGATCCGAACCGAAACCATCACCGGTGGAGGCGCCGAAGCCGGAGTTGTTGAACGGGTCGCTAGCAAAGGCGTCGCCACCTTTGAAAGGATCATTAGCAAACGGATCGTTCTGGAAGCCTGTTGATGGGTTTTGCGCGTTATGACCATTCTGATTGCTGAACGGATCTGGCTTGTCACCGAAGCCGTTCTGCGAGTCGCCGTTAACCATTCCAATGCGCTTGTATTCGGGGTCTCGGAATTCGGGTTGAATTCGCAGCGCAGTGTCGGGCACTGCGCTGACATCATTCGTATCTATCGCGGTATCGCAATCGGTGATGGCGTCCTTTATCTGACGCGACTGCTCCTGCAATTGCGTAATCATCGCCTTCGCCTGACTAATAGTCAACTGGGTAGATTGAAGTTTATTCGAAAGACCGGCGATTGTCTTCGTATTGTCGTTTTTCAACTGTTCCAATCGCGTTTCTTCTGCTTTGAGTTGCTCCAGTTGCTCCTTCTTGCTGGATAATTCGCTTTCTTGCGATGAAATTACTTCTGCTTGCTCAGCGGCTTGTGTACGCAACTTATCAACCTGACATGAAAGTAGAAAATTATTTTCAAAAGTTCTAAACAGAATAGTTGCTCGAACTGTCACCACAATCACCACGAACATTAATATTGTCATCTTGTTGCAAAACATAATGATGTAAAAATGAATTTTACCTTCAATATTTGCTCATCTAATTGTTTTTGCACTTCCTCCAACTCATCGTCAAGAGAGGACTTCTAAGTATTATAAAATTATAATACCCGAAACGAAACGGAAAACAACATGCCAACAAACGAAAAATAATAAATCGTACGGAAGAAAAGTAAACAACCAATAAAGCACTCCGTTAATCAAGCGAATGAACTGCCAAAGTAGTTAAAAGTTACCTTAAAGTATTGAATGAACGCTCTATACTTAGTTCTTAACATTATCGCACGCAGCAACAGTGTAAATGTGTGCAATCAGAAAGTGAAATACTCGACGAAAACGATTGATACGTGCAACGCATCGATTCGGCAAATTAGCATCAATTAGTATCAATAAGCGTAACTGAATGAGGAGCAGCAGACAGACGATAATGTATAATAGCGTATACAATGCACGTTTTAACAATTTGTACAATTGACTCACCTGGGCTTTCAAATCGCCAAGCCGCTTCATTGCCTCGCCTTTTTGATTCTCCAATTGCTTGAGAGTGGCTGCCAGGGTATCCAACTCACTCTGTAAGCTCTTTATCTCGCCGCTCTTGATTCGAATATCGATTTCCTTCTGACTGATCTCGGTCTCTAAAGCGTATTTTTCTTTTGCCAATTCTTGAATGTCCTTGCTGACCATTTCCAGCTCAGGATTTGAAAAGGTTGTGTTGTTATTATCCTGTCAAACAAATAACATGACAGTTATTTTTTACACTTTGTAAAATAAACACAACATGAAACTGGCGATAATATTCATGCTTCTCTATCTTGCGTTATTCGACAAGGATGATTCGGTGGAAGCCATCTTTTCATCAAAAGTAAACAAGTTAAAAAATCGCGCAAAGGACATGTATAAGAAGCATTTTAAAAAAGAGAAGAAATGGCACTTTATGGGACAAGATCCGGCATTGTACCCCGGAACAAACGACAAATACAAACAAGAAAACGCAGCCAAATGGGAAGATTATTATAATTGTCTACGCGAACAAGAAAAAAGTATTGGCGAACATGGCACTCCGATTCCCGAAGCAACACAGGGTTTCGAAGGCGGCCATATTAAGTTCCAATGCAATTTTTGCTTAAGTCCACCGGAAGCAGAAAAAATCGATACAATCGAATGGTATTTCGGAGAAGTCGGACAGTCGTATCTTTCTATAGTATTCTACAATGAGCACATACTCCTCTCGCCCGAAGACAAAACATTACACATTTATAACTTAAAGCAAGAGCATTCGGGTAACAGCCAAACTTATTTATATTTGAAAGAGCAATGATTAATTCATTGGCGTGTTTCTAGGACAATACGTTTGCATACTGGGCGACAGTGCCACAGTACCATATTATTTGAACGTGATGTCCGGCGAAAGCAAGCTACTTGAAGTGCACACACCGTCGGCAACTTCAGGCCCATATCCAAAACAACCGGAAGCTCTGTCGGAATATAATTTAGTGTTGGACACGGAATGGGGCGATTGGTCTGAGTGTAGCAGATGTAAGGAGGTGGGCAAACGCCATCGATTAGGCTACTGTAATATTCTGTATCAGAACGTGAAGAAACGCGATACTGTACTCGGGAAAATAAAGCAGGTAATGGAATAATTGATTAAACGTCTCGTTGTTGAGATTGAGGCTAATGAACCGATTGTTGTGTTATCGATCGGGTTCAAACCGAGCGCGACTGCCTTATATCCTGATGATATTTACACTTAATGCTTTTCAGGCATTCACAAACGACAGCTTTACATTTGATACGCCAAAAATAATGAAAAAAGAAAACAACTCTGTGCTTCCAATGCACATCGAGCTTGTCAAAGTATTTCAATACGGCATTCCATGCTCTTCCTACATCCTCCCGCAAAGCATCAAAAACTTGGAACAAGTACGAAACCGCAGTAATGAAGTTATGGTTGGATATTGTAAGGTAAGCACGGAAAACTTGAGGCTGGTTGAAAACACAAACTTTACGATCCGCTCTCACGTTAGATTCCGTGCCCGAAAGATAAAATATTCGTGGTGAAAGACAAACACGGCCACGAAATTGAACGCGCAAACAACTCGGCGGGAATTTACTCCACACTGCAAGGCGTCCCACCGACAACTCCTGAAGTTGAAAGAGTCGTGCAGTACGAGAAACGAGATACCAACGTTTTAATAGTTTGTCCAGGGTAAACAGTTCGTCGGCGCTGACTTTTAACGAGTAACGAAATACTTTACAATTATAGTAATTTGAACTCCGATTCGCCGATAAAATGGTTAGTCCAAGGCAAAGAGATTATCGCCGAAGTGATAGCTGAAGAGTCACACGGTCGAATTTATATAAGTTTGTTGGAACGCATTCATATCAAGAAGTCTAAAGTTTCCGATTCTAATCTCTACAGGTGGGCTTAGAGTAAATTTAAACGAAAAGTTGCGCAAATGGTGTGAAATTTTCTGTTTCAGTTGTTGGCAAAACAACGAATTAGCCGGAACAGTCCGATTGATTGTCGAGAACAAAATGAAACTAACATTCAATCACCATATCATGCTGTTCGGAATGCTGTTGATATTGTCGGTGTTCGCGTATGTATTTTTGAAAGCAGCAACGAACCGGAAACACTCGGCGGCTGCGTTGAAATAATCGCATTAAAATAAATATTTGACTTACTGTTGACGACTGTTCCTGTGGTTTGTTGGTGCGAAAACTTGGCGGGACCATTTCGGGTGTGAGCATCGGTGGGGGATTCACCCCGGTCAGGCATCTAGCGACGAACCACATCGCCAAAGCAAATTGTTCGTTATTCAACTTACCACTTTGATTAATATCGCACAGAGCCCTAAACAAACAAATAAAAATACATAAATTATAAATTGATAACACATTATTCGTGTTATCACTCACCATATGTGCGCTAAGATTTTCTGCGGCACGCCCGATTGCAGGAACACGTCCTTTATTTCCTGTCCCGATACGAAGCCGTCCTTATCAACATCGCTCTTGACAAATAAGGCATCCGCTTTGGCCTTTTCCTCAGTGCTGACAACCCAGTTGAACGTAGGCTGTACGCTTTGTACGGGTCGAGGCGGTGGCGCGCCGTGTGTTGTAGGGATAAGAGGCGCGGTTATCGGTGCCGGTGGGATGGCCGTCATCGGCGGTATAGAAGACATTGGCGGCGGCGGCATTCGCGGCTTCATACCGTCAAGATTACCAATGAGCGAGGTGTTCATTGATGCAGAGTCTTTTCTTTTCGCCGGAGGCATGAGCTCTGGCGGTAGCGTGTTTGGAATCGAGTACTTTTCTAACGCTTTATATACCAAATGCATTGCCTATAAGCAAAATAATTACATTATAAAATTAGATTTTACCATTACAAAAACAAAAATGATTACTCACAGCAATAAATTCATGTTTATCCAACATTCCATCCTTGTCCTGATCAGCAAGATCCCAAATCTTGCCAAGAGTATCAAGAGGTAATTTAGAATCCATTAAAACACCTTTAACCTGTAGTACAAAAAAGGTTAAGATTTTAATTAATTAACCAATTTCTGCAAACTCACTTTATTCCCGGGAATCATTCCCTCAACTGGGTGCAGGGAATGAAACAGTTTCTCATACTTTTCCCTTTCTGCAGGTTTTACAGTCCAATCAACAGCACTGGTTGGTAGTGATGTGATCAAAGGTGCGTGTGAAGGTAGAGGAGGTTTCTTAGGTTTGGGCATTGGTATATCACCCTAAAATATAACTTTTAAGAATTGTTTTCCTAAGAAAAGAACAAATCTACTTACCATTTTGGGTGGTGGCATATCTTTATTAATATTAGCCATTTTTATAGAATCACCAGCTTGTGCAAGTGACACTAACTTCAAAGCAATGTACATGCCAGTCTTGTCCAGGCAGCCGCGTCCACCCGGATCTGACAAATCCCAAATCTTTGAAAGAACAACATCACTCAAGCCAGACTTCTTCAGAAATCTGGCTGCCTCCATTGCACCTATGGTCCCTCCCCCATTTGGATCAACCTACAATTAAAATGAGCCACTTGTAAAACCATGATGTTGCAATTAACTGAGTAAACAAACAACTTACAAAATTGTAATATGCTTCATATATGGCACCATGATTTCCAGCCACCTAGAACACAAACACACTGTTACATACTTCACTTGGCTAATGAGTGTGCAATAGAAAAAGATAAGACGGCGCGGAATTCACAAGCAATTGTTCATATCTATTTGCATTACTAGAGCTCGCATGTAGGCTAGAAAACCCGAAACGTTGGAATTTTGATACAAATCCATAACTGACACAAATATTTATTGACGTTTCTAACACGGAACATTGCCAAATCCTACAGTTGACCACGCGTCACCAAAAAACAACTCCCGATCAAGCGTGACTAGTAAATCGTCTTGAGTTATTCACGGCGATTGAAGAAACACGTAATTAACTTTGATTTTGGTCAATGAAAATATCGAAATATACGCCGCCCACCAAAGTGTCAACTAGTTGCAGATTTGCAATTGCGTTTTGCGCCGTGCAGGAAAGCAACCGAGCTGCTAAATTCACAGAATATGATGGTACAAAATAACTCGCACTGGATGCAATTAAAATTTAGGCAAAATATCGCGTGGAGTAGAAATTATGGCGAAAAATCAGCAGGAGTACCTGTGTCGGCGACGGCAGGGCAGCCATCTTTTTGAATACTGATTGCCGAGTGAAATTATTGGTCGATTTTTACTATGCCAAGCGTCAACCAATCCGCGCATCGAATCGATATGCCCTATGCAGGCTTCCAACTTGACAAAAATAAACGCGCCAAAAGGGGGAATTTAACTCAAACCGGGTTGAAATACCCGGTACTTATTATATATTTATATATTAAGCTGAAACAAATTTCATAATTGAAGCCTCTAGTTCCTTGCTAACCACAAACGGATCTTCAGTGAGCAGAGGAAGAAGCTCACTCTCTTTGGTTAAAATATCTTCGTCATAATAACTATCCAAGATTATTTCGTCTGTAATTTCCTCAGCTTCCAGTAGACGCAACCACTTCAGTTTCTTATTCAAATCGCGTCCAATAACATAAAGCGCATTCAATTCCTCCGCACTAAACCGGTTACTTTCTTCTAAAAGCCTCCATACTTCTTCTTTCTGCGACTGATATTCGTTGTACATCTCGGTGTGATTCTTTACAATGTATTCGGCACAAATATCCAACAATTTCTTACATTCTAATTGGAACTAACGTCAGCTTAATTTAATTTATTTTATATTAATATCACTTGCCTTGTGGAGTTTTCTTGGAACGCCCCGAACGCCGTTTTACAGGTAGTTTTCTCTTCAAACTTCGCGTTTTCTTCTCAACGGTGGAAGTTTCAACATCTTTAGACAGAACAATTTTTGATGGCGCGGATGATACATCCCGATTAACATAATTCATCAAAACACTTCTAATGCTGAATGAAAATATTATCAATAAAATTATCTAAGCAAGAAGTTTCAATGCAGAAAAACCGGCATTGTAAAGATCAGCAAACAGAAATAAGTAATTTATTTCAAATGTAAACCGTTGTTCTTTACAAAACCTGTAATTCTTCACTGTGAATATAAAAATATATTACTCCTCTGCATCGTAAACGTTCAACGACAAATTTTCCTTACATTTCGGCGGTGGAACAAAGGTAAGGAAGTATTTCAGAATATCTTCAGGTAAATCATTCAGCATTCCCTTCAAAGTCGCCGTGATCTAAAATAATGCAACGTAAATCAATAATAATCAAAATAATTCACTTGCGCTCAACGAGACTTCATCGTATTCACTGTGTGTGGACATATCTTTATTGGAATATTCTTTAATTGCTTGCAAAGCCCCATAGAGAATATGTAAACGGTCTTCGAAGTGAATTTTCAGCACGCGCATCAGCAAAGCGTCGGTGCCCTCCATACTTAAGTAACGTTAATTAAATGATAATTGTTGTGTTCTTGACATTTTGAATAATCAAAGCTGTCTCTGATAAAACTATGTGTAATTGTTATTTGAACTGTTTATCTAGACATTTATTATCGCGATTATCGAGAGTCCCTCATCTTTTTAAGAAAATTAATCAACACATCAAATCTTTCCTTGACCTGATCCAGAGTACGATTTTTTAACTGTACTAGAATGCGTTTGAATGCTATGTCTATGACTTCTTCTTTTTGAAACGTCTCCAGAATGACTTTATCTTCTTCCCTCGTCCAAGGTTGGATTGTTGGCTCTAATGATGAAGCTGTTGTTGTATTTATAGGTTCACCATCATTGCCAGATACAGATACATCACTATCGGAGTTGTTGTCTTGAGAAGTTTCAAATTCTTCACAGCATTCTAAGTTTTAACAATTTGTCGCAATTATTTACTCATAAAAATCATTCTGTTTGTTAATTTTTACTTACCACTTTCTGATTCAGCACTCTCTTGACATGGTTCAGGACTTAGTCTAATTTCGAGTGAATCCATTGATGTGTTACAGTCCCATTCTTGAGGTTCATCCGCTAAAAGCATTGGTGTCACGTCCACAACGTCTATAGAAGTCGTCCTAGGTCGACAAACAATCTCTTCTTCATCGCGGTCAGTCGTCTCTTTCGGTGAATCTTCGATGATCATTTTGGTTTCGGCAACCAACGATTCTTTTTCAACATCTTTACTATCTACATTTACTTTCTTCCTTGGTTTTCGTTTCTTTATAGTCTTTACAAGTCGTTGTTGCTTCTTTTCAGGGGGTTCCTCGTCACTGCTCTGGCGTGTTTCGTCTTGACTATCTTTACCCGGCGATATTAATTTCACCGGACTGGTGTCGGATCGCTTTTTCAAAGAGCCTGAAAGTCGCGCTCTGTGGTCCACGCTTGTATCTTCAAATGTAATTTTAGCTGGACGGAGACCTTTACCGGTTTGAAGAAACACACGTCCTTGCATAAACTATAAATTATGATTTAATTAATTTTTTTTTAGAATATTATTGAAAAGTATTACTTTAGTTCCACAGGGTGTACAATGTTGCGACCTTGCTTTAAATCTATCATCCTCTACACTATGACAATTACAAATGCAGTTTGGCCCTCCATATGGATCCTCCACCTCAGGCAGCACTAAATGTTCAAAAGTGTCATCTGTATCCTTACTCAAGCAAATTGTCTCCCACGCGCCGTTAATCAGTCTTGCAGGTGGTTTTTCCATTGGAAATATTTGTAAAAACCAATCAGTCAACAAACCATTACCTATTTACCAATTAAAAGTAAAATTCAAGCGCTTGATTAATTCAAATAGTAACTTTTAATATACCTTTCAAAAGCGGCAAAACGGAACTCTTAACTTGCGCCATTGTTACGTCGTTGCGCGTTGATAAATCAGTAATAGCCCTATATATTTTACGAACTTGTGACGGTTGATCTTGGAAAAACAATTCTAACTTGCGCAGAAAAAGTGACATGTTACTCATAATTAAAAACGGCACAAGTTTACCCAAAGTTTTCGCCTGCAGGCTATCGAAAAACAGCAAAAACTCGTCCATAATATCAGGATGTTTGTTACCCATAATTTCTGACACTTGATTGTAGAGAACTTTTGGTGAAGTTTGATGTTCGTCAAAATCATTTAACGCCGCCATAAATTTGTGAAAATCTTCCATTGAGAGTGTGTCTTGCACTTTATCATAAAAAGCTTGAATAAAACCTGTAAAATCGCAAAAATAAAGAAGCTGATTACATATTAATTAATTATTTCGTACGATCACGTTTTTCTTTGATAACATCCCCATCTTCGTCAGTCAATAACCGAAGGTTGTCCTCAAAATCCCGCTTTAATTTAGCGCGCTTCTTTTCCAAACCAGTAGGTCGACGTTTTACTACCGATTTAATCGTTGAACTGGCCACCACCAATGCATTAATATCATCTAAATTATCCTAGAATTAAAATCATTTAATCAAGATTGAAGTTATACAAGTCTTCAACAAAATTACCTTTTCTTCTGCCATTGAAATATTATCACAAAGTGTAGTCTCTGATACTGTGCTGTCAACCATAATACCCTCTTCATTACTTGTAGATGAAGAAACTTCAATTAAATCTTCATTCAAATTACTTAAATTATTTTCCTCTTCATCATTATCTAAAGTATTAGGGCTACATTCAGATTCAGATAAATTTGATGTACTGGATGCAGCAGTTGTAACATCTAAACTTGGCATGCTAGACATTGTAGATTTAGATTTTTTGTTAAATATTGATGAATTAAACTTGATTTTTAATACAGCTTCAGGTATATTTATGACTTTCTTAACTCCTGGTGTAGCAAGTTTAAATAAACTCTTTTTGCACTTTGGTGTGGATGCATAAAGCTCATCCCCCACAAAAAATTCGTATGGTGTATTATTTTTGGGTTGTACTGAAACTTCCTGCAGCTTTGGTCTGGGGCTTTTTTGTACCTTGGAGGTGATTTGTGTTGGTCGTCGACGCGCAAACTTTTTGTTATACACAGGTGGTTTAGTCACCTTCGTAATCGGCTGTGAGTTAGTTACTGGTACCTAAAATAATAATTAGTTTTCAAAAAAAGATTTGTGTAACAAACTTTACAATTGTTTCAATGGCATTCGCTTTTAGGTTGGAGTTATGATTAGTGATGAGTGTCATCGCCACCAGATGGCGCGAGACAGCTGTTTTCAAAATATGAATGGCGTGATGTAATAAACGTACCGAATTGTTTTCTACACGACTACAAACACTTACAGTTGCCGACACCGGATGAATATAGTCTCTCCACAAATACGGTAGTTCGTTGGGGTTACGCTTACAAGGCGGAATATTTAAATACTCCTTCGCAGGAACGACAAAATGTGTGGTAGGCCAGACGATATTCTTCTCAAAGTACAATTTGATCGGATTTTGATCTTTCGAGAAGCGGAAAGCACAAACGTGCTTAAATAATCTATCAGTATCTTTACTAGGCATCATAAACTTTCGAATGCAGTGGCAGACGTCATGTAATTTCACTTCACCATTTTTCTTTAAATGGTACTCATCTTGTTTGAGATACGGCGTAAACTGATCTAAACCTAATGCTATTAATCTAAAACAATTGCCGACATAAGATTTATATACATACATTAAAATATTCATTAAAATATTCTTACTCATTTTCAGATGAAGTAAAACCAATAATTTTGGGGTTTGCTTCAACGTATTGAATTCTCGGCAGCAAACTCGGGTAGACAAACAGGTTGCTCTTTGAAATAGTCTCCATTAATAACTTTGGAAATTTTGGAACGTAGAATAATCCTGCTGCTTTGGCTTGTTTCCTAATACACAATTAAATATTTGTTATAATTAAAACTTAGAGGAAAACAATGCAAAATGCCTCAAAAAGAAAAACAAAGTTTCTTTAACTTACGCTTCAGAAATAGTCTTTGCCAATTGCCTAAAATACAACAATTTAGTAAATAACATTCATTAAAACTTCACAATTTAAATCTTACTGTTTATATTCCCTTATCACAGTTGTGTCACACGAAAATTTCGCTTTCCAGTCGTTTACAACAGCTAAAGCTTCGCTGATATTTGAACAATCATAAAATGTCTGCCCCGAAGCAGACTCCTGTAAATCATCCTGTAAAATTAAAATTAATTAAACGCATTTTTTATTTATTTACTCATTGAATTAACTCACTAAACATGTTTCGAATTTATTCGAAATCAAATCCAATTCAGGATGCTGAAAAGTCATCATAAAACCCTGCGTTAAAAGTTGAATGTGCTGTCGCAATTGTTGTTCAAACAACGCCTTTTGATCCTCGTTCATTATAAACATACTATAACCTATTATCACAACGTTACTCAACGTCGTATTCAACTGCGGATATGAATACTCCACGGTTGTATTGTCAGACTTCTCAGGTTCCTCTGGCTGCTCATCCTGTTCGGGAAAATAATTGTTAAAATTGTCAGCGTAGTCCATTAATTCACCGATGAGATCGTTTAACTCTTTGCGGGTAATATTGACGGCCCTATCCGTACGCAACTCTTCGACATCGATAACTTCCTCGTCTGCTAAAACATTATACTCTGGATCATGGTCTTCATCTTCCTGCATTGTGGCTGACACTTCAGCCAACGGTCGTGTGAATCCTTTGAGGAAGTTTTTCCAATCCTCATCGCATTCGTAATCCATTTCGTACATATCTGTGGTGATATCAGGTGGAATAAAGGTGGATTCGATGTCTTCCAGTGGTGTATTGCTGAGACATAGTTTTGATCTAGTTCGGCGTGCGATGTTCGCTTCTTCGATTTCTTTGGCATGTGCATCGTTTTTGTCGAGAGGAATTTTGAATGCACCATCTTCTGTCCAGTTGGTTTGTGTGCTGCAATCTGCTGAGTGAATTGGTGTGGATGGTTGTGTGGATTCACTTGTAAAGGATAAGTTGTGCTCATCTTCACTCTTAAGAAATTAACAATGCAATGAATACATGTTTTTTTTAGGGAATAATACAGACTTACATCTTCTGTGGGTACTTCTTCAACTGGCACATACTCATCTTCAGAGGAATCTTCCTCTGGCAATTCTTCATTAATTAAAACATGAGTTTCAGATGGTTCTTCGTCGGAGTCTCTGGGCCAGAACGGTGTTTCAACTGACAATTCCCTTCAAAAGCAAAACAATCTTGTTTGTGCTTTCTACATTTATTCAAATTATTCATAAATTAAACTCTACTTTGTTATATCTTGAAAATCAATTCATAACTGCTATAAACAACCTAGTTATTATACTCTGGTAGTAATAAAGGTACTAATAAAGAATCAAATAACAACTTTAATGAATTTTACTCCATGATCTACTTGGAAACCATAAATTTATAAAACATAGATTTCACTTACCTGGCTTTTGCCCTTGTAATCTTTGGTTCATACTGCATGGTAAACTCTTCAGTAGGGTTCTCTGCATGTTTAACAAATGCAATAACTTGTTCATTGGTAATAACCTGTCTGATAATGTTTTTGACTTGTACATTCTTCAAGTTGTTTTTAGCAGCTTTTTCATCAAGAGCATTCTCAAACTCTTCCTCAATATCTTCAAGGAGCTGCTTATCGATGTCTGAAATATCGATTACCTTTCTCTTTCTAGTTACCTTCTTAGGAGTTTCAATGACCAATTTCTCTTCATCCGATGCTTCGTCCACTTGCAAATCCAAGATTTCATCGGATGGTAACGGCGAATCACTGGTGTGCGACAACACTTCTAAACTACACCCTTCCGACATATCTACACCGGCATTACACAAAACTCTCATACGGTAAACTGCGTGAAGATTAATTAGCAGACAAACGGCAGAATGCCGATTAAGAAATGTTTTTGAAATTGTTCCGATTACTTTAGATGGTATGTTGGTTATGATCAGTATGTTTGGCCTTCTATTAGTACCAAATCAATTCACGGCGGCGCCAAAGTATAACTTTTAATATCATATCAAATTTCAGTCAATAACACGTTAATTCTAAATTATGCTTTATAGAATAATTATTTAGTATAATAAATTTCTTGAAATAATAAAATGTTGATAAGAAAATCTTTATTTAGCGCTATTTTTATTTGAAAAATGTTCCATTTTACGCACTAAAATTCTGTGCAGATGGCGCTAGCGGGCCGTAATAAAAATTCGAAGGTTAAATCGACAGACGCGACAGATGCTTTTACAAATAAACATGGCGTTTAAATGCTGTCACAAATTGTTGAAAATAAAAACTTGCCAATAATGGACACATGCCCAACTGTATCAATTCGCACACCGTGAACTTATGTAAGTTGAACAACTTACATCGCAACTTGGTACTGATGGTCAATTGCCCTGAAGGTCTCTCTCAATCGAAACTTGCTACGCACATTTTGTTGGTTATGTTACCATCGAATGAACACAATGAATTCGGCCGAAGATTTACCATCAAATATCATAAATGACTGCTCGGATAATGAAAGCACACCTGCTCCTGATCCAAATGCTAATCTGAGAGACACCAGTCGCGGTGCCATCCCGAAGAAAACAAAGTCTCTGCCTACAGGCTCCACAAAGCCAATGAAGTCTGTGTCATCTGCATCATCAACATCTAAGAAAAACATCAAACTAAACAACAACATTGAGAACATGTCAACACTAAATACTACTGCTGATGAAGTCCCCAAAGTTAATGGTGTTACCAGCAATGGCCTATGCACAAATCATTACTTGAATGATTTGTTGGAGCCTTCTTGTTCAAGTAGAGATGTTTATTGCAAATTTGATGTGCATGAAAGAGATACAGCAAGTGATAGTGATGCAGTTGACAATGATAGTGATGCTGATACTGAACTGCTGTCAGTCTCAGAGGATGGTTGTATTTATACTTATAAAGGTGATAATAATGCAGACCTTCCAAGTTCATTCTTTGATATACCACCAGAGATTCCTGAAAATCAACAAGACCAACCTGCTGTTGAAGAGGTGGTGAACAGGCAGGATGCTTCAAGTCCAGAGATGGACTATCTGGAGATGGATTTTGATCCTTCTAATAATGGTGATGGAGATTCTGCCTCAGAAAATGAGATGCCAATGCAAGAGGAAGAAGAGGAAGCCAGTCCACACAATGAAGAAGAAACTGCAAATAATTTACAAGATGTAGAAGCAAGTACAAGTGGATTAAATAATGTTAACCCAACTGGAACTTTTAATGCTGTAAATGTTGGTGATGCAAGTCCTCTGCAGGAAATTGCAGCAAATGTTGAAAGGTAGCACTTTCCCCCTACGAAAATAGAATTTGTATTAATTTTAATTTGTTTTACAGATGGGTTGAAAATAATGCTTCAGTACCACTCCCAGTGGCTCCTGTGATGACACCTGATGAAGGCAAAGTAATGCCTTGGTCATGCACGCTCGCACAACGCACGAAATCGAAATATCTGCGTTATACGAAACGCGTGCATTGCTCGCGCGGCGAATTAATATCACCCAGTGAGGTGCCATCTACATCTTTTAAGATTGTTATGGTCCGCCCGGAATCATTGGAGGAACCTGCTATGATTTGGTCTCGTGAGGAAGCCAATCTCAAGCAGGTAACGCAGATTGGTCCGTCATCATGTGGCGCAACAGCTGTTTTAAACGTATTGAACGCGCTGCGGTTTCCGGTGCCTTCCTTGGAGAAGCTTCGTGAGTTCGTGACGACGCGCATGCGAGAAAATAACAGCCCGCTGACTAAATATTTGATGTCGCGCAGTCGAGCTGGCTCGACGCATAAAGATCTCATCGATGGTTTGCATGAGATCTCTAATGGTACAATTTACGCGCGATTTTTTCATATGTATCCTGAGCGCGTGGTGAATCTGTACAAATGGCTGGGTTTTTGGATTACAAATGGTGCTGTGCCCATTGCTACGTTAAACTTGCAGAAATGCGTAGGAACAATTCCGGATGCTTGGCATCATCAGATGATTTACGGCGTTGATTCAATCGGAATTCATCTGACGAATCCGATGGAGCATGTGGAGGCGGGTTTGTTATGGCCGCAGCTTTGTTCTGAATCTGTTTTGATGGTTCGGCGGAGTGATGTGCTTTCACGATGGAATTTCAATACGGATTTGCCGGATCTGATGCGAATCAACGATGTCCGATGGCAGCGATTAAATGTTGTTGGTAAGTGCATTGGCAAAATGTTTGATAATGTTATTAATTGTGTTGCTCTTTCAGGTCAAGTAGCGAATGTTGTCCACGAGAACAGTCGTGAACTACGGCAGGGATTCACAAACACGTCGCATATTCGCATTCCTGCTGCGTACTCATCAGGAATAACTTTAGCCACGTCGGTTAATTCACCGGCGTACGCCCTACTGAAGCAGGCGCCCGAACTGCCACTTCTCGGCACGCAGGACGCCGCTTCCAATTAGCGGTTTGTGTTTCGATTCATAATTTAGTTGTACATTTGTAAATATCCCAGACGTTTAATTAATTTTTACGCTTCTACGAGCTAGTAGAATAGAATTGACAATTATTTGTAACAAATAGAATCTAAAACGCGTTTCGATTTTACGTTGAACTGGAAGTGCGTACGATTAAAAAACTGAATAAGAAAAATGTGATAACTATTTTGTAGCATCTGGTCATCGTTGTTTTTGGCAAAATTTAGCGGAAGAAAAAGTGAAGTTAGCATATTATTGTAATATGAATGTGCCATTTTTCGTTGTGTATTCAGATCCAGGTAAACAAGAGCACCAAAGAAGCGGAAACGTCAATGATGACATCACATACACACACACACACTGGCAGAAACATATTTAGACAATATATACTCTTATTGCAAAGTAATTGTAAGCAGAATGTGGGAAACAAGTAAACATTAATTATTCATATGCTGCCCGGAAAATGAACCTTTATGAGGGTAGCGGTTCAAGCGCGACCCATTATGTTGCCTACGCCGCCAACGAGGGCTCTATATTTATTACATACTAATATTCATTCATTACAAACCAAACTGTTTGCTGGGAATATGTATGGGAAGTTATGTCACTTTACTTTTCGAATGGAATGCGCTAATGTACGCATTATTACACTCTTTTCATTGTATTACCATAATATGACAACTTATGTACGAACAATGTATCGGTTTTTAATGTAAATACGCAAACGAATATTTATCTCGAGAATTACAGAATTATTTAAACTGGTAATTGGATGTTTTACTTCTGCTATTTTGTTTATTCTCGTTTTCTTAACGAAACAAAACAATCTTTTTTTGTGGGCCTTCAAAATGTTATTTGAGTATCTTTTTTAAAAGTTCTCGGGTAATTAGTTATCTCGTTTACCAATTACTCAGCGAAGGCAATACGCGGTAATAACACAATATGTTTCACGGAAATTTAAATTTAATTCCAATAAGTAAATTCTATTACGATCGGGTAAAGAATTATAGTGGTACTTACATGAATTTTGATGAATTGTGATGAATGATGGTGTTGCAATGCACATTTTGCTTATTCCTAAGCAAAAATACACAATATCCAATGTTTATCCTCACTTTTCCAGCATAAAATCAAGTTTTATTGTTTATTATCGCGATTTGTGTTATTTTCGATTCCTCGTGGTGGTTTCATCAGATGAATCCGGCAACTGCTGCCCAATCGGTGTCTCCTCATCCGTGCTGTACACATTCTTATCACGTTTTTTAGCCTTCGCACGAAGCTGTTCTTTGGTCACAAGTTGGGCAACTGCTTCCTCCTTGCTGGAGATCGTCGCGAGTTTGCCCTGCGATTGTTCCGACTCCTAAGAGCAACAAAATGATTTACACCTTTGTGCACTGCCATTGTGATAGTGTTGTTTGTTTGGCACTAGTAGTGATATGCTTGTGGTTTGTAGTAGTCGGTAGAGCGTGCGGGGATCGCCGCGATCTGGTGGGGCAGTTCCTCGGTGTTGGTTTTGTTTGACTTGAAAATTTTGTATTCGCCCGCAATCTGAAACCGTCAAACATATCACTACGTTGTGATATGGCGTGTATCTTGTAGGTATATTTCGTTGCGATTTGGAAATTAGGCGCTGAAAGCTGAGATAGACATGCAAACATTTCAAATATGAGTGGCTTACCGAACTCTGTTCGCGGCTGCTGCCTGGCTTCTCGCCCGAATAGTTGTACCACGGGTCGCTCTTGATAGTTGAGATGCGGGCGCGCGTTTTTAGCGGCGCGAGAATCTTATTGATGAGGGTCTTACACGCCGTCGACGCTTTTGGGTCTTTGGGAAAGGTCACCTTGTTCGACACTTGCTGCAGACGTGCAAAAATATAATTTAATTCATACTAGACTTTGGTTCTTTTCAATTCGCGTACCTTCAGCAGTAAAGTGTAATTTGTGTCGTCGAAAGGCAGTCGACCAAAGATCATCGCGTAAAGAACAACCCCATTGACCATATATCCGAATATTGCGGTTGATAGGGAATGCCTCTCAAGATCTCCGGCGACGCGTACGCATAACTGCCGCAAAAGGTCTCGCTGAGCACTTGATGGCCATTCTGCTGCTTGACGTAGGAGCGCGCGAAGCCAAAATCCGATACTTTGATGTTCATATTACCGTCCATGAGGAGGTTCTCGCACTTGATATCTCTACAAACAAGCCGGCAACCAAACCCATCAAATTATACTCACGCAAACACAAATATTAACACTTCTTTGTGTTACCTATGAACCACTCCTCGGTCATGGCAATACTCGATGGCTTCCACCAACTGTCGGAACCAGCGTCGTGCCCTACCCTCGGGAATGTAAGATTCCTTCCGAATAATGTCCAGTAAACTGCCATTATCAGCATATTCCATCACAATGTAAACTCTTCATAATAATCACAAATAAATTTAACATTTAACATTAAGTTAATATATGTACATTATACCTATGAGTAGTTTCAATAGCCTGAAGGAATCTAATTAAATTAGGATGTTTCAATCCTTTGACCACCTCGATTTCCCTCGGTAGAAACTTCTTCAAATAATCCTCGGGTGCCGTGTATTTGCTGACGATCTTAATGGCTACATTTCCTCCGTGTAATTCGCTGTGCGCCATCTTAAAATGCATAAAAAAGAAGCAAATCTTTACCGAACTCAATGGAAGATGACGGAGCGTAGTTAGCCGTTCATACCCTGACCGTGGCATAGGAGCCTGAGCCGATGGTTTTGCCGAGAAAGTAGCCATGGCTCTCAAGGACAGTCTTTCGATCCTTGGAGTTATCTATGGCCTGAGAGGGGTGAGACTGGTGTGCTGTCTGATGATGTACGCTGTTGACTGGAGAAGGCATTGCATTACAAACGGCTGCAAATTAATTCATGTTCCCCGGCTTGCAGCGAGATTATATTCGTAAGGATATTATATTATTGTGTAAAACGGTGCTTGAATGATGCTTTTATACTTGTGGTAAACAGAAATGAACGTTTTTCAAAGTTGTAAAAGAGAACTTGGTAATTTTGACAAAAAATTTTGATAGACATTTAATGTGACGTTAAAAACACTAAAAACAAAATATTTTAGTTTTAAATCACAAAATGTAAGAAAATTTAGTTAAAAATAAAATTTTCTGTTTAACTGATCAAAAATCAAATCATGTTTGATTGGTTCTGATTTTTCATTATTTCATTTTTTATGATTGCGCTTCTGCCTTGAAAAACGGTTAAAGATGAAAATTCCAGCCCCCACATCGCAATAATATGCGAAAACGACGCATTACCCGGTAGCACTTGTCCACTCCGCGACGTCCGTCGATCCGAATGAAATTTTGCACGGTCCGTTTTATTAGAATTCCGGCATTTCGCTTAGTTTACATAAAATTCGCCCATTTTCCGCACAACCTCGTCCTCGTCCAGGAGTGCGGACTGTCCTCGTGCAAACACCAATATACATACGCACCAAAGAACCACTAAACATTATTGCTTTTAATAACAAGCCGGCATACGAGGGGAGCATTCACCATATAATATAACAGTTACAGCGTAATGCGACAAGCAGCCGAGGGTCGCCACATCCCTTTTTTATGATTTTTATTACACTTTTATTATTTTTACTACTATCTCTCGTGCCGGCGGCGGCTGCCGGCAATTTTTTTCCCGTTTAAACTTTTCACGCATTCTAGTACCCAGCGTCGACATATGCGAAAAGTTGTGACCGTTTACATTTTAGTTTCGCAGCTTCGCAATTACAACTTTTACGGTTTTTACAATCCGCCGTGCAGGCGGATTGTTTTATTTTTCCACGACCACCACCCAGTTTTTCACCCGACAATGGCGAAAACAAACGTAATCATATTTGGCTGCTTTTCGTTTACTGAACAAACACAAATATTTATTTGTTTGCGCAGAAATTAAACACACATCAAATCCGTTCGGATGGCGTGTGCTTTGAATGTATTAGCACATAATTTAATGGATTTCGTATCAATCATCTTTTTGTCGGGAGATGCAAGTATTGCTTTCATGTACCGCATGGAAATCTGGTAATGTGATGGATTATTGTTTGTGATTCGCTGTCATCGGCCAGTGCTTTGAAGTCATCCACCTTAGAATTCACCACGTGAAGAATCGAGACTGTCTTCCATATCGAGCAGTTTAATGCAGTAATGTGTTGTGTATGTACACGTACACAAAAAATTTTAATTCATAAAAATAAATGTGCAATAAATGTGATGGGAATATCTTCTAAACGAAGAGAGATAGAAATCTGCAAATTGTTGATTATGAAAGATTGGAAAATTCTCTATCAGATAAAAATATAAAATAATTATATTTCCTACAGTAAAAGGTCGAAAAACGCGACTAAAAGTGCTAAAAAGTGACATTTTTCAATTTTGCCCATTTTATTCAATCGCGAATATCTCGTAAACTAAAAGAGATAAATAAGATCTGATCGCAGCGTCTTAATCTACGGACTATTCTCTATCAGATAGGATAGTTAAAACGGAAATCTGAGAGATGAAATTTTAATTCTTAAGAAAAAATTGCCAAGGGGGGGTGCTTGATACTTTTTTTCGACGATTTTCAAAATTAATATCTCTTAAACTAAAAGCGATAGCTACCAACGAATTGTTGATTATGAAAGATTGGAAAATTCTCTATCAGATAAAAATATAAAATAATTATATTTCCTACAGTAAAAGGTCGAAAAACGCGACTAAAAGTGCTAAAAAGTGACATTTTGCAATTTTTGCCCATTTTATTCAATCGCGAATATCTCGTAAACTAAAAGAGATAAATAAGATCTGATCGCAGCGTCTTAATCTACGGACTATTTTCTATCAGATAGGATAGTTAAAAGGGAAATCTGAGAGATGAAATTTTAAGTCTTAAGAAAAAATTGCCAAGGGGGGGTGCTTGATACTTTTTTTCGACGATTTTCAAAAATTCATATCTCTTAAACTAAAAGAGATAGCTACCAACGAATTGTTGATTATGAAAGATTGGAAAATTCTCTATCAGATAAAAATATAAAATAATTATATTTCCTACAGTAAAAGGTCGAAAAACGCGACTAAAAGTGCTAAAAAGTGACATTTTGCAATTTTTGCCCATTTTATTCAATCGCGAATATCTCGTAAACTAAAAGAGATAAATAAGATCTGATCGCAGCGTCTTAATCTACGGACTATTCTCTATCAGATAGGATAGTTAAAAGGGAAATCTGAGAGATGAAATTTTAAGTCTTAAGAAAAAATTGCCAAGGGGGGGTGCTTGATACTTTTTTTCGACGATTTTTGAAAATTCATATCTCTTAAACTAAAACCGATAGCTACCAACGAATTGTTGATTATGAAAGATTGGAAAATTCTCTATCAGATAAAAATATAAAATAATTATATTTCCTACAGTAAAAGGTCGAAAAACGCGACTAAAAGTGCTAAAAAGTGACATTTTTCAATTTTTGCCCATTTTATTCAATCGCGAATATCTCGTAAACTAAAAGAGATAAATAAGATCTGATCGCAGCGTCTTAATCTACGGACTATTTTCTATCAGATAGGATAGTTAAAAGGGAAATCTGAGAGATGAAATTTTAAGTCTTAAGAAAAAATTGCCAAGGGGGGGGTGCTTGATACTTTTTTTCGACGATTTTCCAAAATTCATATCTCTTAAACTAAAAGAGAACTACCCACGAATAGTTGATTATGAAAGATTGGAAAATTCTCTATCAGATAAAATATAAAATAAATATTTCCTACAGTAAAAGGTCGAAAAACGCGACTAAAAGTGCTAAAAAGTGACATTTTGCAATTTTTGCCTATTTTATTCAATCGCGAATATCTCGTAAACTAAAGAGATAAATAAGATCTGATCGCAGCGTCTTAATCTACGGACCAATCTCTATCAGATAGGATAGTTAAAAGGAAATCTGAGAGATGAAATTTTAAGTCTTAAGAAAAAATTGCCAAGGGGGGGTGCTTGATACTTTTTTTCGACGATTTTCAAAAATTCATATCTCTTAAACTAAAAGAGATAGCTACCAACGAATTGTTGATTATGAAAGATTGGAAAATTCTCAATCAGATAAAAATATAAAATAATTATATTTCCTACAGTAAAAGGTCGAAAAACGCGACTAAAAGTGCTAAAAAGTGACATTTTGCAATTTTTGCCCATTTTATTCAATCGCGAATATCTCGTAAACTAAAAGAGATAAATAAGATCTGATCGCAGCGTCTTAATCTACGGACCAATCTCTATCAGATAGGATAGTTAAAAGGGAAATCTGAGAGACAAAATTTTAAGTCTTAAGAAAAAATTGCCAAGGGGGGGTGCTTGATACTTTTTTTCGACGATTTTCGATAATTAATATCTCTTAAACTAAAAGCGATAGCAACCAACCAATTGCTGATTATGAAAGATTGGAAAATTCTCTATCAGATAAAAATATAAAATAATTATATTTCCCACAGTAAAAGGTCGAAAAACGCGACTAAAAGTGCTAAAAAGTGACATTTTGCAATTTTTGTCCATTTTATTCAATCGCGAATATCTCGTAAACGAAAAGAGATATTTAAGATCTGATTGCAGCATCTTAATGTACGGACTATTTTCTATCAGATAGGACAGTTAAAAGGGAAATATGAGAGACAAAATTTTAAGTCTTAAGAAAAAAATTGCCAAGGGGGGGTGCTTGATACTTTTTTTCGACGATTTTTGAAAAGTAATATCTCTTAAACTAAAAGCGATAGAAACCAACCAATTGCTGATTATGAAAGATTGGAAAATTCTCTATCAGATAAAAATATAAAATAATAATATATCCAACAGTAAAGGGTCAAGAAACGCCACTAAAAGTGCTAAAAAGTGACATTTTTCAATTTTTGCCCATTTTATTTAATCGCGAATATCTCGTAAACTAAAAGAGATAATTTGATAATTTTTTTCAACGATTTTTCATAGAGATTATCTTCCAAGCGAATGTTTACGATCTAAATTTAGGCGATTTTTCATGATTTATTCATCGATGCTGAAATTTCGGTAATTTCGTGTTGGCGCGCGTGTAATTAAAGTTAAAATAATTATTTATAGAAACATAGAGATCAGATCTACTAATGATGGAAGGTAACCAGATTTAATTAATTGTATAATCAAACTTTAAATTTAGTTTTAAACTAATAAACAGTTGGAGAGAAATCCACACGTGTCGTTTCTTACGTTTTTTAAAAAGTTTTAAGTGAATTCTATAAAAGAATGTTTCACTTTTTGATTTTTCAAAAAACAAAAATATCTTAGACATTCTACTCTAAAATAATTTCATTAGCAATGAATCAGTGACTATACAAATAATATAATATTAAACAAACCGCGACAGACAAAGAAATAATTAACCGGAAGTATTTTCTCAACCGCACATTCGGTTATCTTTCCCCACATGTTTGAATTGCAGGAATGGCTAAGATTGCGCTAATTTATTTTGATTGTAACGTACTGTACGTGACGGTAAAGCCATTTTAAGTTGCGGTTTAAAGTGCTCTAATCCCGCTTACCATAATTTATTGCGCGCCGGGTCTCAACTTTTAAATGTACATAAACATATTTTGCATTATTTAGTTTGCTCGCGATTTAAATTCTAATTATCCAGCAGGGGCGGCAGTGTGCGACGTTAAGTAGACGGGATAAATAACGCAAAGCTCACAGACTCGACGCAGTCTCAAATAGAAATAGAAATTACTGCAATTAGATGAGCAAAGATCTCAATATCAACAGAGAGCAGACGCGAATCAAATTATATGCAAGCGTAAAATCCACAGCATAAGTAATCAAGTTTAATTTTCCAACCTTAGGTTATCTCATACCGAGTAAGGTTATGTTGAATTGATTATTGGGTTGCCTATTATTAACATATGAATATATGAAGGTGTATTGCGTTCACACTCGGTGGAAATCAAATGCGGTGCAAATGGTTTGGGATAAGTGGATAATGCAGAGCGGCGTATTAGAGAACATAGCCATGCGGACTTTGGTTGCAAAACCGACAACACCACCGTACTAACCAGCAACCACTATCCGGGAGTCCGCCGGAGTAACTTAATAGTATAACCGAAACCATCAAGCAACAAATAAGTCTTAAATAACCTCCTCATGGCCGCACCCTCAGCAGGTTCAGCGTACATGTATCCGAGAGCACACACTGCGCGCTTTCCCAGCTTTCTGCACTTTGTGCCCGACATGCTCGTGTTTGAGTTACGCGAGTTACAATTTGCCACGGCCGCCAACAACCAGCAAAGCCAACCACTCCACTACTCCGCTGCGAAGAGTTAATGTCCTTGCGACGCAGCGGCATGCTTCATTTCGCACTCCAGGATGTGTGTCCTTCGAGGTGGAGGTGCCTCGGGCTACATTACCATCAGCAGCGCAAACATATTTTAGGGCATGGGGTCACTGGAAAGAATAATATTACATGTTACAGTAATTAAATAATAAATAAAAAATAAATTTATGTAAAAAATTAGGTTAACTTAACCTATTCTAACCTAATTTAACTTCAAAACTTTAAAAATTAATTTTTAATCTTATTTTAAAAGGTATATTGTTAAGATTTAGTAATTGTGTGGTTTGTAACTGGCAGTATATTCTGAGACAAGCATATGTTTCACTTTTGCTCGTACTTTCCACTCAGCTAGAAATACTCCATTACAGACACATCTAGTCACCACATTCTCGTTTGCCGTCCTCGCTTGTATCGTTATACAAATGGATCTGGCGCTGGATGCATGTGTGCGCAATACTAATTACTCTTTCATATAAACATAATTTAATTCATCGCTCCGCGCACTTACGATGCGAGTGCTTAAAGTAAACTTTTGTAATACAGAAATTAGCCGTTTCAGATTTAAATGTTGCTAAAGTATTGACATATAGATACAATATTGTTACTAAATTTCAAAGTGAGTTGTTTTGATGAAGCACTTATTTTTTATGCTTTTATACACTAAATTAGTTGGTAAGTCTAGTTTAATGACTTTAAACTTTACCATTCTTTTTGATTGCGCTAAGTGAAAGTCATCAATGTATAATGCGCAAGAATGAAATACGTTCTGGTCTGGCGTGGTTTTTTGCGTGCTTTGAAAATTGTTCAAAGTTTGTACGTCGAGAGGCAAAAAAAGCTTGAAACTTTCTATAATTTTTGTTGCTTTTCATTATTAGGATACTACATACTTCCATTGGAATCACTTAATGAAGAACTTTTTATGTGCTTAGCGTTCAAAGTGGTTACTACGTGCAGAGGACTTGAATAGACCTGGATTTTTATTTCAAGCCAGCGCGTGGATATCGTATGAACAGGGATTATGAACTCTGAAAGGAAGTTTTTCATTAAAAAATGCTCATATATTTATTAATATGCTGCCGAGTGGCTCCTTTTACGTCATAAAATATATTTAATATTGTAACTTAGTAACATTTATAACGAATTTAAAATGAACTAGCAAAGAAGATAGGTTAGGTACACTTGTAACTCAAATATTAACAAAAAATTTTGTTACAAATGAGTTTTTATATTTTTAAATCTTAAAAATGATTTATTTCTAAAATATATTGTCATTAATTGAGTAAACCTTGATGTTGACTTATGTTTGCTAAAATTTATAGCACAATTTCGAACAATGCCCTCAGTGTAAATTTGTTCAATTACGGGAAACAAGCAAAACAACAGGTGGAGCTCGAAATTTCAGCTGGCGGCCGCTCTGCCGAAAAGTAAACGCATAAATTTCGTATTTAATCAACTACCACCCAAAGTGTCGCTTATTAATGACCGAGCACCCCGCGCTTAAACACACTTCAGCGAAAACCAATAAACGCCCGCCGCCGTTGCCGCCGCGGAGCAACAAACAAGTCTACGCTCTGTGCGCGCCCGCAAACGCATTAAGATTTATTAATATAGAATTGAATTATACGACGCGGCACGGGTCAGCGTAATCTTGCCAGGCACCGCGGGCGAATGATTCATTAGTTGCGTATGTGAACACGAAAACGGTACCCAAATTCATTGGTCTATAGGTCTAACATCGAAAGCTTTGCTTAGTTCTTGATTGCTTTCGATGTGGGAGACCCGAGAGTCCATTTAAAAGTCAATAGTTCAATAACTTAAATATTAATGCTACAAGTTGATGGGAAAGTGAGCAAAAAATAGAAATAGACGCGATGAAAAAAATATTTCAGACGTGAATGGAGTGCTGCTATAAATAAATCGAAAATGTAGAAATAAAATCGCCGCGCGTTTCATTGGATAATATTGTAAAGTATTAGGGTTGTAAAAAACACGCTTCGATTTTAGGTTTATTTTTATGTTTGACCCTTTTTTTTTCAGGATGTGATCGTAAATATAACTGTCAGTTTTCAGAATTTTCCTATTTATATCCTTCTCTAATGTGCTATAACTAAATTTTGATGTTTACATAAAATAGGTTATATTTTTAAGCTTTTGTGTTACTTTGGTTGCCTACAATGATTTAAAAATATTTATTCGTAAAACAAATAAATCATTTATATTAATTAAAAAGCGTATCTCTCGGTTCCGGTAATTAGCACCCCTCCGAAAATGAAAAATCCACATCCATCAACGACACATTGAAAGAGTGCAAGAACGATGAGTGTTGCTTCGTGCAGAAGAAGCGAAAGAAGGGGATGTTTACAGATACCGCCGCGATATAGCGCTGTCAGCGAATCGGCGTCAGTAATGCTTCGGACGTCGCGACGCCCGTTGCTCGCATCGCGCCGCCGCCGACGCTAACCCTCAGCATACACACGTGTATGAGTGTACTATATGTGCGTGTGCGTTGATGGTAATCGACGACCTACGATACGCGAAGAACTAAAACAAAACTTGGATTTAACCGCGCGCAGCGTAAATATTTATCGGCAAACAACTTGCAAATATTCAAACTGCCACTGTGAAGGTATTTAACGATCAATTATTTAATAATTTAATAAATTTTTGCCACAATCTTAATGGCACTGTTTATATTCACTCAAAAGTCGAAATTTTGCTTGCGATCGCAGTAAAATAAACAATTGCCACGGGTAGTAATCGTGCTTAGTTCGGATCGGTTGGCAATCAAGTAAAAGCTCGCGCGATGCTCGACGCATTGATCTACTTGCAAGTCGAAACAATAATATTAGCAGAACCTCATTTGATCACATGTCGACTTTGTTTACATTCATACATACACTCTAGATAAACAGTTCGTTGACATGTCGTGTCACTCAGTCAAAAATTCATTTTAATAATATACAGCCTGCTTAATTGCGGAAATAGGTATATAGTGATTTTATCTCTACGCTTGTTTTTGTTCGCGTAGATATAATGAAAATTGCAGAAAACAATTAAAGTTTACGTCTTGCTCGTTTACTCCTCGCTTCTGCAAACATTGCCAACTGTTACACATGAACTCGACGTTGAGGGGTTTTCAATTTAAGCACAGCTCGATGATACGCACGCTTTTCGAATGGATCCGAGATGTTAAATGTTAAATGGAAATAGTTAATTTCCATCTCTGTTGTGTGGATGCCGGCGGGGGTGGCGGGCACACACATACACTTGCGCACATTTATCATGACCTTGTTTGGATGGCTTTGTGTGCGGGTATGTCGGTGTGCGCGAAGTAAATTTCTATGCAAACAACGCCTTCGAGTGTAGTACACGCGTCGAGAGTTTGGCTTATTTCTTCTGCGTTTAGCGTTTAGCATTTTAGCGTTGCGGCATTGCGGGGTTGGGGTTTTGACTCTTGGAGACTCCACGGTTTTGCATTTTAGGGTCGGTGCGGGCGCAAACATGAGCTAAATGGAATAGAATATCGAGGAGCGGCTGAATAACTTTAGTAGTTATTACATTGTTATAATACACGTCGTAATATTTTGCTAATTTCGATGATTTATTAAAGCGGAATGAACTCTTCTTGCGCCGAAGAAATTAAATATAAATGTGAGGGGTTTTGTTGAAGACAATTATGATTTGTTTTGTTAAAGTTGGAAAATTTATACCAAAACAACAATGAAATTATTTTAGATATAGAAATAATACCGAATTTGCCAATCAATTAATTAAATATTGGTTTATATCAATAATCAGAATCGAAAAAGTAAATTTATGGATAAATTAAATGTAAGAATCAATATTTTATAAGTTCTGTTATCATTTTATCAACAAAACCAATCAAAATTAGAAAATTTGCTCACTTTCTTCAGTTATTGAGAATTTTCTTCAATTTTAAATCAGAAAATCATGTAAAAAGTAGCGAATTTTTGATAAAAAGTAAAAATAAATGAAAAAAAAAAGTAAAAATTTGCACTTAAAAACATTTCCTGATAATATTTTGCATGTTTTTACTAAAAAAACTATCCTAAAATGAAATTTATATGTATTTCCTAGGTAACTACCCCATAATACAAAATATCGACAAAAGTTGATGTTTCTTTTTCAATTTTAAATCACAAAATCATTTAGAAGGTACCAGAATCTTCCATTTGAGCTCGTTCGAATTGCCCATTCTTTACACTCCAATTTTTCTCCGCACGTTGCCTTAAATCCTTAATGCCCCGAACTGCTTACCCGCGCGCCGTGCTTCCTTCCCTCTTGAATCTTTATGTATTTGGATAGTTTATGTCTGCAGCAAATCTCGCCGCCATAAGAGAACGTAAACGTCAAATAATTCATTTCGCACCTTTCCGACGTCTCCGACTCCCGACCCTTGATTTACTTTTACGATATACCGAATGTTATGCTCGTACCGCGCGCAAACTGCTTTAATTCCTCAGCAAAACCGAAATTGAGGCAATGAGCAGGTTTATGCTCGCACCTGAGTTGTGTAACGTATGGTGTACCAACAAAAATCAATTACACCGCAATATTTGCTGCCTGGCTGCTCTACCAACACCACTTTCAGTTTGTGTAAGCTGTCATTGAAATATTCAAGCAGTTCACCTTGTAGTGAACCTGTAGAAAGCTGGAAAATGCATCCGCTATTCCTGCTCACACACTCACAGCGGTCTCTTGTGTACCTACCTTGCATAATCCGTGCTGCAATATTGTCTCATTTACATTTCCGTTTCATATCCGCGCTACGTCTTCCATCCTGAGCTAATCTAGAGCGCACCGCCAACGAGTGCCAAGTCAGCGCGTCGACGGAATGGCAGTTGGAAAATGCCCAAGTAGTTCTTCTTCGGCGGATAACTCGCGTGGCCCTCGGCTCGCGTGCATTTGGCAGGGTCTCTTATTAGAAATTGTGGAATAGTCGAAATGCGGAACGCGCCTGAATGGCGAGATTGCGACGAGGGTCTGCGCGGGCCCGGACAGACAGTGCCTTTTTGTGCACCCCGCGGCCGGAAGCGGGTAGGAAAACGGGAAGCACGGGAAGCGTTCTGTTCGTGCGAGCGCGCAACAGAGCATTCAATTGCTCCGGCGGCGAGGATGCGAAATGAACGCGCGAGCGCGCGACGTGCGCAAAGAATGCAATCCGAACGCATACTTCAAAGACTTTAAAACTTGCAAAGAGAAACAATCGGAGGCGAGTGCATTTGAATAGATGTGGGTCATGGCTTTTTACAAAATTACACCTTGAGGTGCAGAAACATCATAAATCTTGATTAATTTTTAAAATAGTAAGATTTCCGCTTAGAAACCAAACAATTTTAAAGTTATGATAGATTTCTACATTTAGTTAACCTAACTTACGACATCTTTTTAAACTTTTATATGTGTTATGAAAAGAACGATGACAAGTAATTATTTTTAATGAATTAAAACTCTAAGGTTTTCATGTAATCCATCAAAATGCCCGCTTTCATTCCTTCGCTATTCCAGCTACTCTGACAGATAGCTGCTATATAACTAATTCAGACCGCCTTCCGCTGTTGTTCTCGTGAACTGAAACTAGGCACGAGCCGAAAGTCAGAAGAGGGATTCATAAAACTGTTGTAAACTTAGTTAAATAATGAAGACGTATGCAACAGACTAGGGCATTATACGCTCACAAGTCATAAAGGAGTCTACTCGTCTGACAAAGACAAAGATATAATTGATAGATAATAATATATTACCGAACTTGATATTAATAATTACCGCACCAGTGCACAAATCAAAAGAAAATATTCTTTAAAATTGTTTAAAATTATTTTAAGTTAGTTTAAAAATAAAAAGTAAAGTGCAGTTTCTGAATTGTTTGCCTTTATGCAATAAAACTTTTAAAACCCAACAATTTTGCAGACCTCTATGTGAATCGCGCGGAAGAATCCTGGAGAACATGAGAGCGCAGGAATGCATCTTACACGAGACGATTGGTCCGTCGTATTGTTGTGACGACTCTACCGCATCGTCAGCAAAATATAAGGACTGCACAATATTGGCAGGATAATAGAAAGTAAGTAGAGAGAGTGGTGTGCATTTTCTCTTACGATTGTATTTCTTACCTACGATGCACCACGCAAATGTGCACAAAGCCTGAAGAGCCGCACGAATATATGAACACGCGCCCGGCGAATAAGACGAGAGGAAACACAAATAAAGCGCCTGAGTTGCACGGTTTCGCCTTTCCAACATTTGCATTGAATGTTGCGCCTGCACGTTTGAAGTACAAGACTTTGTTCGTTGTAAGCTTCGAGATGCGCTGCAGCTTGCATGAAAATTGGAATGAACTCACGAGTTTGAGCATTGAGCTGATGATACCAAAAGCTTAAATTGTTAAATATACTCGAGAATTACAACTGAAATTCCCAGTTGTTATTCCCAACATTTCAAAAACTTTTCAACATAAACTAATATTAAATCATTCATGAAGAATAAAATATCGCCAGGCCAGTGCATAGATATCTCACAAATTGGTAGTAATAAAACTTTCTAACGCACTACTTCATTTACCTTCATCTGCCGTGGTAGAGGATAAATCTATTATTAATATATATAATGATTAAAATTCATTGAACTCGCTACGCAGGTACCATTGCTAATAAATAATAATCGCTGCAGGATGCGCTCATAAAACCAAGCAAGACTTCATTTATGTATTCACTCCTCCTTTTCGCTAATTTCTCAACGTTTTCAACAACATTTTAGGCTCGTGATAGTTTTTAACATGCTTTTATTACGTCCGTCTGCTCGTGTATAAAACCAATCCTTTTCAACTTGCCTCATATATTCTGCATGCTGCACCCAATCTCGTATGTTTTTTTCGTTATATAGCGTCTTCAACTTTTTTCCTTTTACTACGTTGAAAATTTATTTAAAGTTTTATACAATAGTATTAGCAGACCTCACACGTTAAAAACAATTTAAAAATTTGCTATGAAATCAATTCACAACACAAGTAAAGTTGTAGGTTAGAACGGTTGTTAATCAATGCGCTTGAAAATTTAGAAAAGTTTGCTGAATACTCACTTCAATACCACGCCAAACTTGCAAAATGTATAGTTTTGATGTACACTTTAAACTTTTTCACACTAATTACATCTTAATGTATTGTTTCCATCAACACTCTATTAATTTTAACACAACAATTACGAACATCCTAGAATCAACAACAATTTATAAATTTAAACAATTATTCACCAACTAAGACACGAAAATATGTAAAGATTGAAACCAAATTATATACTTGAATAATTCGTATTGGAATTACCATAATATTTTGCTTTGAATAACTTTTGTTTCAATTTTCACTCAGTCAAAGTCACGCTTGGAAATTTTATTATCAACATGTTACCAACTTGAGAATAACGCATAGAGATATGTGGAATGCAGAAACTGCGTGCCAGTAATTCAATTATAGTTGTTGTTAGTATCGCATTCTGCGATATTGCTAACAGGGAAAAGTTTTAAGCCCTCTGGCAAGGATCGAACATACACGCGACGTCGCTTTTGAATGAATTTAAATATTAATGGATTTAATAACGAACCGAAACGAACACTCACTATGAATACCCGTATTATTATCAGATGCGTGATTAATTGTAATGTATTGATTGTATTATCTATAACGAATGCTTTCATATATATTTCTGAAGTTTTTACGAGTTGTGAAATTGGAATTTTTACGACATTCCAACTTCCAACACTCAATATAAAGCGTTGAATTTCATTTTTTATTCGTGCGAGCTCGGTTTATTCTATATTCCATTTTATATTTTATATTTGAAGATGCGCACGTAGTTTCGGGGCCAAGTTGCGACGTCGAGTGCGTCCGCCTACTGAAATTGCAGAAACTTTCCCGAAACTGCACGCCGGAAAATTGTAATACGTGCTTCTAGTATTCTATAAACTCGACGCTGGCAAGCCAACCTGAATGTCTGTCTATTCGAGCAAGACCTGCTTGTGTTTCGTGTATAGAAAAATAATCCCAGAATCTCAAACAAATGCGGGCGCATTTCAACTCTAGAAAATTTCACAAACATCAAAGTTGGAAACAAAGATTAAGTCAATGTTTAGTCTAACATGCTCATGTTGCTGCGCGTAATTGAAAAAGTGCTTCGACGTATTCGTAATTGGAGCTAATTTCTTGCTTGTAATTTTCTTCGCGTGCCACATTTGAACCGCAGACGAATGCACTCCACGATTTCACGCTTGTTTTAAGAGACAACACGTAGTTGAACGTATGGTGAACTAGGTCAGAACATAATACACTCTTCAGGGCACACCGAACTTCTGCTTGGAAAACATTTTTTAGTACTTGCCGGTTTTATAGCCCCAAGTGCAACATTCTGCGATTGCTTCGTGTCGAATTGTGAGAGAGTTGAAACAGAAATTGCCTTTTAAATTCGTTAACGGGAATATCTACTACTTCTTTTGATAGGATATGTTCTGTATGCTTTAGAAACATTGTAATTTTATACATAACCAAGAGGTCAGAACAAACTGCAAAACGCGCGTAACGGTGTTTTTGACAGTTGACTTACAGCGCCACCACACATGAATTATCACGTTTTATAGAACTAAAATTTAAATTTGACATTTTTATTGTCATAAAAGCGAGTTTATTATATTTTGAGTCGTAAAATGGAGATTTTTGTAAGATTAATTGCCCGTTCTTATATTATTAATTAGAATTTCTAATGAAGGTGATTCTTGCTTTTCTATAGGTCGCAGATTTTAAATGTACGTTGCGTTTCGCGAGCGTAAAGAATGAATTGACGAATCAAAAGTCGTGGCGCAATAAAACTCGTCGCAAAGTCCATTTCCGTGCTCTTGAAGACGTCGCCTTGCGCCGGAAAAAATAAACGAAAGAGCAACGACAACCAGCAGCCGAAATTAAATTAAATTGCAATCGCAGGCATTAAAACTCACGCTCGAAACATAAAACAAGTTGTTTTTACAAATAAAATAATTTTTTTTTGGTTAAAAATATGAAAATCTGTTTGCGTGCCGCATCGCATTAAGTTTTAATAGACTCAAACGCAGCTAATGGAGTTTATTTAAATGATTAAACTTTAAACTAAGCTTTCAATTATGAAATTAAAACTTTCATCGATTGGATGATGATGCTTGAGAATGGCTAATGCGCTCGCAGGCTCAACTTTATAATCCTCCGCAGTGAAAATTCCAAAGTCAATCAACTCCGCGAGATCACCCCGATTAACTATTATGGAATTACTAATACCGAAGAAGTTAATAATTCATGAATAATTCCATTCTTTCCGGCGTGGGACGGAGGGCACCTTTGTCTGCTCAATAATTTATGATATCGCCAACAGCGTAATGACGCAGTCGAACATCAATTACTAATTATTTCTAAAGGCTTTCAAAAGACTTCCAAACGTGTAATTAATAAAAGCCGTTAAAGGAACTTTTATTTCTCCCAAGGTAGCAACATTCACATTCAACAAAAAAAACAGAACTTAATGAAATCTATTTTTACATCTTGTTGGCATAGGGATGAATGAATGTAAGAGCTAAATATCTCTTCGTAAATCTCTTATATCTATGTGTTTAAATTTAAACACATCGAGTACATGCAGCCGCATTAAGCTCACGACACATTAAAGAATGTCGGCACTTTGCACCATTGCTACCGCCGCGTGTTAATTTTCTATTTTCATTTTATTATTTATTTAGAATCGCGGCTCGCTTTATCCGTTCTTTGGTTGCGACAAGCCCAACACTTCCAGGAGTCATGTATCTGTTATGTCGAGTTATTTAGCGGGGAACAAAAATGTTTTTGACTCAAACGCATAAAGTTTATTTTTATTGCTTAAGTAAGTTGAAAGATATTAAGCTTTTAAGCGTTTAACAAGATGATTTACGGCTTGCATTAGGGTTTTACATTTGAAAATGTTGAGAAAATGAAATATTTAACATGAAAATTTTTGAAAATTTGAGTTTTTACATTAATTTATAGGAAATAAATGGGTTTTAGTAGTGGTAGAGTATTTTATTGTGATTATTAGAAATAGTAATGGAAATCAAGTAAAATTTACATTTTGGTTGGTTGGAAACTAATCAAGAATCTGGTAATATCTCGAGGGCTGGGTGCAATTATACTAATTCGATTAACGTTAATTAACCCAAATGATCTTCCATGAGTCGAGGTCAAAGTTTTATCGTTGTTACATCTGGTTGAAATTTCCGCTCATTTTCCCCGACTCTAAATAGAAATAAAATTATTTCAGACATAAAATAGCATAATATGTTATTATTTTTTTTAAATATTTAAATTTTCCTCAAAAACACTCTGTATACTAGTCTAAAATAACCGTAATTCGTAAGTTTTGGAGTTTAGTGTGCTAATTCTGACAGAGCATGATTCGTTTCTTGATTTCCACTCGGATCCATTCGCAAATCTGTAGATTTGCTGAGTAACGTCCAAGATGAGCGAAATATGGCGGCAGTCAGTCATGGAATGGCGGCGTGCGGCACATGGAAGTAGTTGGGTGCTAATGCTGATGCTCGAAATGTTCGGGTCGGATTAGTATTATTACTTAATTAGGATTAATTATTATCCCTTGAGTCGACGGCGCGTCTTCGTTTCGCCCGCGCGCGATAATTCATGTTTGCAAATAGACAGGCGCTCTCGAGCAGTTTCGAGCACTGCAAGAAAGGAATTCGTGCAGCTTCCCCAACGCGCATTTCGAATTCATACTCGAGCCCATTTAGCGCACCGGGGGCGGGCGCGCCGCTTGGCAAATAATTCGTAAATGAGGGGTTTGCGAGATATCCGCGAACGAGCGCGACGTGATTTATACTTGTGCATCGCGCACATACCGGAAAGGTACTCCGGGAGGCGCATAATGTGCTTTAATCAACTCGCCACGGATTCGCCTCTCTTGCCCCTGGATCCAACCACCGCAACGGGCGCTAATTGCAAATTCTGCCCGATGATTAATTCATTGCTAATGTGGTATTAATTGCATACGTTTTTTTCTTCCTCTGCTTTCAGACTTTCAGAAAAACCCGGAACTGCCAGCAGGAGGTGAAAAATAATGGGAGCGGCCTTGGTAGAAGTCGCTATTTGAACTGACGAGGGTTTCCAAAGGCAGGAAAAAAACCCAGGCAATGATGGTTCGTGTTGCAACGTCCGTCAATCATGTCGTTCTGTTGTTGATGGTCATCAATCTCATCGCAATCACGAGTACGACTAAATTTTATCATGGATTCCAATCAGGTAAATGCAATCAAAAACTATCAGTCAAATTTTAATACATTTATGTGTGGAATTTTGCACAAAACGTGTTTTTTGCTGATGAGATGTCAAGACGTGTGCAATATTTCAACATTGCGCAGTAATTTTGTTAGTGGTATTTTATACGAGGCATCCAGGCGGGAGTAAATGATGAGAGTAACAAAAACCGCCGGCGAAATTGAGTATGCATGCAAAAAGTGTAAGCGTGCGGGGGCGACGACGCGCATCGCCGAAGACTCGAAAGCGCAATGAGCGAAGAATATGAATGGGGGGACACCGCCTTGCGCATTAACAAGCAAGGCGTGTATCGTGCGTAAATCTTCTGCAATGTGCACCTGTTTGCTGTCATCTTCATTGCTTTTCTTACAAATGTTGCATTCACTTCCATCCCAACCGAATCTGTCTATTTTTACTTATATTTATTCAACATTTAGTACTATGAATCATAATTCCTCAAGTGAAGAAGATATTATTCCTGCATAAATTTAATTCGGTGCGTAGGTAGGTGTAAAATTCGTTAGTTGGGTTTTATGCTCATAAACAGAATGGATTTATGCAAGTACAGGGCGCAAGCCGTGCGTGAAAAACGAGATGCAGAATTGGCACATACAGCGTGCACGAAGCGGAAATATAACCGTCGTATATTACGAGCGATACTTGTAAAACCCTCGGTTTAACCGTGGGATATAAGAAGCCGAGCGAAATAGAGAGCATCGGATGGTATTATAGGATGTAAAGAACTTCGCTTCGCTTTTATGTTATGAAAGAAAAAAAAAACCTCCTCGACGTTATGATTCTGGTTGACATATTGGCGTCACGTGCGAGGAAGGTTTTCACTGATCCGGCGAATTTTCTCTCGGAGACCATTCCCACTATTTTTAGATATTCTTTTCGATGGCTATTCTTCGGACAGCATTCTTAGCTTCTATATTCCTAGCTTTGCAATCTGGATTCATACCCTTCTTTTGATTTTATTTTTTTGATTTTATTTGAAATAAAATAAAATTTTAACAAGTGTGAAGTGTTAAAAACTTGTATGGGGAGATGGGACGTGTAGATGTGGAGTATAAAATGAAGACCCATCGATCTTCTGCTTCTGGTGTTGTTATTCATACGCGTGTTCTAAAATTTAAGGCCGCCGGGCATTTCTTCAAACATTTTTTACGCGTTCGCGACGACAATGTTATAAAGTGTGATATAAGAAGTGACGATAAAATGGGGGACAACAGGATGGTTGCATGAGGAGTTATGGCGTCGCCGTGAAGTATGGACGCAATGGGGACTGGAAGATGGAAGGTCGCGGTTTTTATTTGCGACTAGGGCCGATGGGGAACTGAGCCCATGCTTTTCATGCCTTCAGTAAAACATTTATTAGTTTCCTATTTTACGCATTGTAAAATATTACATGCGATATGTTTTGATATAGGTATATTCAATACATAACCTAAAATATATTTTAGGTTGTGTTTTGTGCGTGCGTAAATAGTGATGGAATTGAAGTGTAACGCAACAAATATTACGGACAATTACTCGAGCACGGCGACAGCCAAGATGCAGAAACGCGTGTTTTAGGACAAGTTAAATGGTGAAGACGAGTTTATGTACTTAGTTTAAAAGTTTTCCGCTCTTTCGCATTTCCGCTTCGCTGATGCTCCACAAAACCAAAAACGAGCAAGTCTTCCAAGCAATGCCATCAGAGAAGTAAATATATAGTTAACGTCTGGGGTCGAGCCAGCCAACGAAATCAAGGAAAAGTGCCGAATGTCTTGTATTTACATACAGGGTGTTGCAAAACATAAAATTTTATTAAAATTTAAAATTTTTAGTCAAAAAATCTAAAAAATGTAATAAATTTTTCTCCCAAAATTGTAAAAAAATAAAAATAAATTAATTTAAACTTAAAATTTATCAAATTTAGTTAATACAATTAGTTTATTCTGAAAAATTGAATATTTTATGTAAAAATAAAAGTTTTCTTGTATTATCTGTATATCTTAAGCCGAGGTTGCACTCAGCGAACAGGAAATATAACAAGAAACATCGGCTAACTACTAAACTACCATAAAAGTTAAATAGGGACACTAATATCGCCCGCGCGCGGCTGTGCTGGGCGTAGTCCTGCGAAGCGAGAGGACCCTCGTCTCCAGCGCCACTTGCTGCTGCTCTCAACTTTCATCTCGGTGGTGAAATTTACTCAACCAGACCGAAACCCAAACTCGAAGAACCGAAAAGCGACGCGGGCGACTCCAACTTCTTGGATACGAAGAAGACGCTCGCTGGGGTCATGAATCTAATTAATCCATGAGTTAATGAACAACACACCACAACACATTCTAATAAAATTCCTGCTTACGGTTAAAATATCAGTCGAATCTATTTGGGATTACAAGCGAAATGCATGGAATAGATTTTACGAAATCTGGAAAAGTTCAGCGTTCAGCAGTTTTTATAATTCTTCTTTTAGAGATTCGAGATTGTGTCTCTCCGACCGATACTTGTTGGTCGTTGTTTTTTCTTTCTGTTTCGCTTCTGTCTTGTATTTTCTGGAAACAATGTATGTTTTCTATTCGCATGTGTTGCTCGTCTTGCTTTGGGCATCCTTTCTTTGCAATAATGTCGGCGTCGGCTGGCTCTACGAATTTCGGGTCGTTCCCAAATTCTCGTATTGCAAGATTGTAACACATGCATGTACACAACGGCTTTCTATCCGAGGGGAGATGCCTATAGGATGCTATAAATTTTTCTTTATTTTTTCTTTCTTTTTTCCATTGTTTCCATACTTTATACATCGTCTAGTTTATTCTTTGGCAACTTAGGTGAAATACTTGCTAAATTCTATAAACCGCGTTTAAAATAAATGAAAATTCAATACATTTCTATCTAAATAATTTGTTATAAATATCTTGTGTTGGTGTTTAAGATTGCTTTGTGATAACAATGTTTTTTTGTAAATCCAGCAGAAAAAAAACCCTTTTTGCATTCGCATATCTCTCCTGCAATGTCACGAGACGTTCGGCTTTGTTTTTATTTCCGAACGCCTTTTCTGCGTATTACGTTCCGTTTCCCGTTCGCATACATTTTTCCTCCACAGCTTTGTGCGCACTTTCAAAGGCCTCAAACAACGCGCACCCTTTTCACTTCTTCGTGCAGCCACCAGCACTCGACTCGACTGTTAGTTTTGTCGACGACGTTTGATGCTCTTTTCGGTTATCTAGCCCATTCTTTCTTCGGCATTAAATTGGATCGAATATTTATGCGTCGCGCACACATCGCCCGCTTTTCTTTATTCATGCAACTTGTTACACACCGCGCAAACAGAGATAAAATAACCACCGCCACTCGGCTAAAAAGCATATGAATTCAGCCTGGTGGCTGGCGGGGTGTGAGAAAGTTGAGGGTACAATGTTAAGACCACCGCCTTAACAAAAAAAGCGCACAAACGCAGCATTTACATACGGAAATAGACGCGCAAACGCCACCGTCGAAACGTTAACAACAAAGAGAGCAAAACGAAATGAAAATAAACGAATAAACAAACTTTACGAGTGGCAATTTGCATTCGCGTATTGCCGTAACAACATTACTGGAGTGTGGACTTGTAGTCAATGCTGGAGTTCTTTGCCAGTTACATATTTGTTCAAATATTTTCACGAATAAAGTTAAATGCGACGTTTTTAAATGTTTAAGATGATAAAACATCCAACTTGAATCTTTGTTTCCATTCAGATTTCCTTCAGCATTTATTTCATGTTTGCAGTTATTTGTCGTTTGGTTGTTTTATTTGTTTGCAGTTTAAGGTCTTCTCGTCTTCGCTCTTTGCCGTCTTTCGAGTATTATGTGCTTTGCGGTCGACGCGGACTTCATTTAAATAAAATTTTAAGTTTTATTGCAAATTGCGAGCAAATACTTTTTCCCCAGCAGCGCTCTGAAATAATACCGTGTGGGCACCAAAACAAATACACTTTTAATGCGCGTCGCCTCTTGTTATCTCCGAGGACTCCGCCTGCAGCGGCGAAGAAAACAATAACACGTTTTACCTAACAAGAATACCACCCCGGCCAAGTTAAATCACAAGTTAGTCGTTATTATGCCGCGGCCGTAACTTTGCGAAACAAGCGAAACAAGCAAAGAATGTAATGCGATGCCAGTTGTATGTGCAAACCGAAGTTTGCTTTTCTAAAGCAACCAACTTGTTTGTCTGTCGCGGCAACTTTCTGGCGCGGCATATAAATGTTTATTGTTTAATACTTTGACAGTTTATTGCTGTTTTATTCAGAGCAGTGCGCGCGTAGTTTTAATTTAATTTATTCGCGGTGCCATTCATTGAAACAATGACAAACATTAAAGTTGTCTCCGTTCGGGGTTGCGCGTTGCACTATTCAGCTTGTAAAAAAGTTTGCAGCTTGGAGCGAAAAATTGTTCGTATCGGGTTGAGTTATGTATCGAATTTTTTTATGCGACATGGAAAAGGCAGGAAAACACGTTTGGTAAATTACGGGCGTAAGGGGTGAAGGGACTTTGATGCCATTCAATGTTTCACTATCGACAAAGATCTACGACTTGGTTGGCAGACCTAAAAGTGCAATTATTATTAATGAATTACCTATACGTTCGGAACGCTGGCGAGTTCCTGCATTAACTCTTTCTTTATTCAAAGAAATTGGTGGCGCGCCACGCGAAAAAACGCTTTGAGTTTATTTCCAACGTCGCTGACATCCGGTTTTTTAATTTGTAGCACACGCGGACAACTTATAAAAAAAACTAAAAAGAATTTACTAAAATTTTCTTGTTTTTTGAATGAAAAAACAAAAAAAAAACAATTTTTAAAATCTAATTCACAGATAAAATAGAATTTCGAGCAGAAAGAAGTATTGATGATGCCAAACCAAGTGAAACTCGAAAAAATGTTGAGAAGACAAATGGAAAAGTCTTTGACAAGCAGGGAAGTGAAAAGAACAGTCGATCAAATGTCTTCTCCACTGAGAACTCAACAATCGTCTGGGCGCAAATTGGTGGCACCGCGTCATTACCATGCGTGGTGAAAAAAAATAGTGGAACGGTAAGTGCTTTGGAGTTTGCTAGAGTTTATTGATCTGTGCGGTGTGTTTGACATGGTTTCTTGATGTTATTTGGAGCTGTGTGTGCACTCAGGTATTGTGGCTACGTCAATGGCCATCGGCGACGCCGTCGACGCTGCTCTCCGTCGGCGTCAGCAAGCACACTGCCGACGATCGCTATTACGTCGAGCACATTCGCCACTTGCAGAATTGGGGGCTCGTCATTAAGCATGTGCACGTCGAGGATGAGGGTGTCTACAAGTGTCAAGTTTCCACGCATCCACCGACCATTATCCTCATTCATTTGAAGGTTACCAGTACGTATTTTGAATAAAATTACAAATCAATTTTCATCATGATGATATTTCAATCACCTGGAATCCGGACGTGCCCGGATTGATTACGTGTGATTTTATTAAGCGATTTCTGTGCGCAGAAGCCTACGCGGAGATCTTGGGCGCGCCCGATTTGCATCTGCGTGCCGGTTCCACACTGCACTTGGCGTGCCAGATAAGGCAGTCGACCGAACCGCCCGAGTACGTGTTCTGGTATCACGAGGACAGGATGATCAATTACGATGCGGGCGTGCAGGCGCTGACTAATTCGGCGTCGAACGTCCTAATCGTCCCGGACGCCGACAAATCGCACGACGGCAATTACACTTGCAAGCCGTCGAATGCCGTGCCGGCGCACATCAACGTCCACGTGCTGAACGCCACCGAAGGTAAGACCCTCATTGCCGACCCGTCCCGTGGGCACGCCACAGCATTCCCAGACGTTTCGCGGCGCGCAATAATTCAATCATGTCAGGCCGTCGACGTCGGTCCTTATAATTGTAATGATACCATCGTCATTAGGTACAACGTTTAACGCTTTAGTTAAAGAGAATGTTTACTGACTGGGAAAACTTTCCCGCATATTGAGATTCATTCTCAAGGTAAGACTAAAAGTGTTTTTGTGATGTTTGTTTACAGAGGAGAATCCGGCGGCCATGTTGCACGCAAATGGAGCTTCCATCATCACAATGAACCTCTTCTACCACATCATTATTACAATGATGAGCATATTCATTGGAAGAGTATCCAACAGTTGAATAATTCACTATTATTATAAAACTTAAATAAAAAATAAAAAATTAAATTTTGAATGGAAAAAAAGTGATATGATGATATGATGGACATTAGAAATGTCGGAACGTAATCATAAATTTTAGTAATTACAATATCTATACAGTAATCTATCTCATTACATCTCTTTGGAATCATTAATGGCTTAATGGTAATAAAATGATTGTATGTAGCATTATAAATACAGAAAGCCATTTAAAAATGATAAAATTTAAACAATTTAATACTTAAACGGATTTATAAGGGTTGGAATCCATAGTGAACGATAATGTTTTTATTAAATCAAGGAATTAAACATAATTATTTTTGTAAAATAAAATATGTACATATTTAAAATATTTTTATCCTGTTTTGTACTATGTATCGTTTGTGATTTATTGAAATAATTAAAGTGTAAATTTATTATTCATAAATAGGCTAACGTTAATACAGAGAATTATAAACAAAGCGTCATTCATTTATTGTGTGTTTTATATTATTTCCTGAATAAATTTCCACTCACAGCCAGACAAACATAAAAATCATTTTGCGTGTTATTGTTTTGTTGCAGAACTCTTTGATATCGCTGCAAATTCAAAGAAAGCTCAATTGATATTCAGCATTCGTTTTATTCAGTTCTTCATGCTTCGTTTGCACTCGCCGCACTGTTCTTCTTGTGTATGTGTGCTTTTTTTGCTCTTCTGCATGATCAGGAGCGGTAGCAACGCACGGAATTGGAAGAATCGTCAAGTGAGTCCTTGACCCGGACTCGAACGGAATAAATAAATCGACACTCGAATATATTACACTTTTAGAGGTCCTGCAATCCTGCGGTTTGTTGGCCATGGGTGTTGGCTTTATTTGCGCGCAAAAAGGTAAGTGGATGAAAGGATGAAATCCCAACACGCGTCTACAGACATTCGCTTAATAAATAATTAAACAAAGCTTTTGTGATTAATCTTGAATCTGGACATTTTTCGACGAATCTTCTTATAAATTAAAGAAAGTTTTAGTTGAGTGCATCTCTTCGCGTTTTACTTGTTCGTATTTTTCTTTGGCCGGAAATTTGGAAACTTTTTCTTTTGTTAATTACGAAACTCATTCACTTTGGTTTGTGTTGTTTATTTACCAAGACGTCGAAAAACTGAAGGGGCTAGTCCCCAAACACCTCTGTTTTCTTCTTCGTTAGGAGAAAAAAATAAATCCAGTGCTGATCTAGATGTCACATAAATGTGACGTGATAATTGCACTGCAGTAAACCATTAAGGATCGAAAATGTAATCCGGAATTGTGCGGAATTTCAACGCTGAGAGCTTTGCACTTTATTGTTGCAGAAAGCGAGGTCTCGTGCGGGAAATTGCCGATCGCAAGGCGCGCCATAAAGCTGTATTGTGATTGTGTCAACTTTTCCAATAATAGCGGATTTTGCAAGTTGCACTAGCGTGGCGCGGCACAAAGGCCACGGGTAAAATAGTATGAAGAATGCAATTCGCGTTTCGGTTGGAAAGCGCCGCGGAAAATTGAATCTCGTAACACCTCACTAATGCGATGGTGCAAGGCACGCTGACAAAATATTTCAAGTGCATTCATTCAATATGCAGGCGCTACTACAAAATATGATTCATTATATTATGCAACTCCAAAGATTTAGTTTCTAAAAAAAGTTAAAAAACAAAAAATTAAAATTTTACTTACAATAACCTTAAAAATCCTAAAAATAGGTTAGATTTTATTCCTAATGCAAATGCGTATGCGCAATTAGAACAAATAAGTTCAATGTCACCAAATTCATGCTTTGACACGTATTTCTTATCAAATAGTGCACAAATTGCAATACGTAACCCACTTTAAAAATTATAAAACATAATTTAATGTTGAGCTTCATGTTTTCAAAAAAATACCCGAACATATGATAATTATGTAAAATTCACTCAATATTTTACCACAATTTAATACAAATTACTAATTATCCGTCCTATACGCCATTGAATTTACATTTTATCTTGTATTATCACATTTTAAATCAACGCATATTCATGAAAGAATATACAAATTTTCCCGAATCGTGTTTATTGACTTGTATATAAGATTTTTCCAAAGAACAAGTCCAATAGTTGTGAATGATCTGCCTACGAGTATCAACAACATGGTACTTATTAAATTACTCATATTAATATTACTCATAAATTCTATAAATAAATGTGATTTTTTTCAGGCTAGACTCACAATTGTTGTTGCAGCAATTGCTGTGTTGGCCCTCTCGATGCCAGTAGTTGGCCAAGGGGGATCAACAGGATCCACCACGGTTACGGTTAATCTGGGTATTGCAAATGCCCTCACAGGCGCTATTTCAGGAACCGCCAATCTCCTCATTGCGCTAATCAACAACATGGAAACAATTACGAATGTTATCATCAGGGAATTCAGTGTTACGCTGTCTTTTATTCTGACCAATTTTCGTGAAGCCGGAAGTATGATCTATTCCAGTGTTATGTATGTCGTTGGTAGTATTGGGAGTACCATCAACACACTCATCACTGAATTCTCTAGTTACATCTACTATGGTATTACTAATATGCGTGAATTGGTTGGAAACTTAACTTCAGTATTTACTTCAGTAATAAGAAATCTCCTGAGTAGTACTTATGAATTTCTAAGTCTGATTGGTTCAAATCTGAGTAATATTTTTGGAAATCTGGGAAATATTGTAAGCAATATTGTTTCAATGATTTATTATAATTTTTCTGGGATCATTGATGGTTTTATCAACTTTGGAATCAACATAGTCACAAATATAAGAGAAGTTCTGAATATGGTAACCCGTAATATTATGAGTTTGATATCAGGAGCGTTTTCAAATATCTACTACTTTATCACCAACTTTAGGGAAGCTATTACCACAATCGCCACCATGATCTATTCCAGACTTACAGCAGTTTTAAGTGGAGTGTTTACATTCATTTCTACAAGCATCAGTCAACTCACAGATAACCTATATTATTTGATCACGAATTTTGGGACCATTTTAGATGGAATTATAAGATTTGTCTATTCTACATTCACGGAAAGTCTAGGAAACGTCGTCCGTTATATTTTTGAATTTATCAGAAATATCAACACAAATCTTTACAATGCGCTTCTAAATCTTGGAAGTGCTATTGATAGATTAGTTAGAATTTTGTATAACGCTGCATTAGCTGGTTACAATTTCTTTTCTGGTATAGCTGGAAACATCTATAGAGCACTCACCTCTGGTCTCAGCTATGTCATCACAAATTTACGTGAAATATTGGAAGCAATTATCAGAATGATATATTCTGGAATAAGCACTGGAATACAAACAGCTGCAACCGTTGCTAATATCATTACCAACAACCTTAGTGATATTTTATATGAAATTGTTACTAATCTACGAGATTTAACCACTAATATTGGCAGATTCATCTATACAGCTCTTACCACAGGTTTAACCACACTTATTAGCAACACCATTGATATATTCAGACAAATTTCTTCTAACCTGGTTTATCTGATAACCAATTTACGTGATATCATCAGCAGTGTTTATGGAATGATCTATTCTGGAATTACTAACACCATCAACTTTATTACGACCAACGGCATGGCTTTTATCAGATATATTGGTTCAAGCCTCTCCAACGCTTTCTATAATATCCGTGACGTTTTATACAACACCGCCATCTATATCCAAAGCGCTATCTCTGCGGGACTAGCTCAATTAGGTTCTGCTATCATTACGGCATATCAACTTGCAGGAGCTACTATTACTGGAACAAGTGAAACAATTGCATCGGTTGTTTTTGCTGGTGGTACTATTTTGGGTACTGGTATATCTGTTATTGGTAATATGGTTGAGGTGTAGTCATAGCAGTCTCCGATGCTATTTCTACAACGATTAATGGATTAACTGGAATTATTGGAGCAGCAACTTCACTTTTGCTTCAAGGTCTAGTGACGTTCCTTGGTAGCGACTTGATCGCTACGTTTATTGGGTCTCTTGGTAGAATTGTATACAATGCTGCTATTATGATCAGGAATGAGATAGTTATCTTCCTGACTACTACGCAAAATGAAATTATCAGAGTTATTACTACTTTTCTGAGTAATTTTAGAATTGTGGTTCAAACTGGATAAAAATTCTGAAATTTGAAAAAATTGAAAATTGAAAACCTAAAAAATAAAATCTATGCTTTATCATCGAAATTTATATTTATATTTTAAATAAAAATTTTCTATAAAAATATACAGACCCTGTGTTAGATAAATTGAATATATTCTTAATTTAATTATGAATTCTATTTGCTAAAACAAAAATAACATAATTTGTGATAAATATTCAAAAATTAGTCTAAACCTTAGCAAAACGACCAAAAACCCAAAACGTCATCAAATTTGAATTTTACACATGTTATCATGTTTTTAAACACTTACGCAAATTTATACCGAATATATACATTTGCACAGATTATTATTTACGTATATATAGGATTTGGTCAGGAAACCTTTTAAAATAGTAAAATATTTGTCTTCAAAATGGTACCTGGGTTAATAACCCTCTTTAAACCATAACTAATTTATATTTGTCTACAGGTGAACCCTACATTCTTTGTCACAGTCCTTGCTGCTTTTGCCTTGGCTACACCTGCAGTATGTCAAGAAGAACCAAGAATTTTTGGTATGATCAACCAAGTAACTAATGGTGTCACCAACGTTGTTACCAGCAGTGTTATCAACGCAGCTACAGTCACTAACAACGTTGCCAACAACGTTGCCAACGTTATTGCTGACACTACCACTAATGTGGGTAATGTAGTTGCCACTGTTGCAAATAACGCCGGAAATGCAGCTAGCAATGGCATCAACGTGGTAGGTGTGATTACCAGTGGTGTGGGCCAAACTATTTCAAATACGCTGAACGAAGTCAATCAGGTGGTTAATAGCATCACATCATTCGCCGCAAGCGGAATGATTTCTGGATTGATCGCAGCGATCAGAAAGGTTGTTATTGAAGTTGTTGAGGTCGTCACTGATGAGGTCCGGGAGACAGTTACTACTATCAAGGATGAAGGTAATAAATTGGTCAATGAAATTACTTCGAATGTCCAGGAATTTATTAGCAACCTTCGTCCAGTTACCACCTCTGGTTAAAAGTTGTATTATGATTGATTAGCTTTACTTAAACAATAAACGTAGCTACAACTTTATGTTTAAATCAAAGTTTTTTTCTATTTTCACCATTGACGCACCAGTTTTTAACGGTTTTAAAACACAAAAAATAGTATTTTAAACACGGGCGATCAAAACCGTGACTAAAGTACTTTAGTCACGGGCTTTATTTACGGATGGAGCTTGCGCCTGCGCATTTGCTTACGGTGCTGCACAAAACCATATTAAATGCAATGCGACGTCAGTCAAACAAATCAAAGTATACGCTGCTGCTGCTCTTAATCAATTTCATGAC